CCCTAAGTGAAATTAGATATAAATCAGGCTGTGCTGGGTGGACAACATTCCATGGCTGGGAATTGTGGTGGTATCTCAGCTGTTTGGACTCCATCTGGTGAGACTCACAGGCACCTGCCATGGCTCTCAATCATGCCCAGCATCTGTTCGCTATTGCTGCCTATAAAACCCCCCAAAGCCCAGTGGACTTTGTCTCTTATCACTCAATTCTCCTAAGCCAGCCCAGGAGTGACATGGAGGTGGACCGATCACCACCAGCACTGCTAATGCTTCTCGGGTTTCCCAGGAGCCTCTGTGCTATCAGGGCTAAGTAGGGACAGATCTCAGTGGGGACAGATCTGCTCCTGTGTCTCTCAGCTTTCTCCTGAGACCAGCAGACATGCCTGAGCCTCTTCTACCCACAGTGATGGCAGGATACTCAGATGCCAGCAGAATCTCCAACCTCTTGTCTGTTCTGGCACATCCTCCCATTGGACCGCTTCAGAGGTGGCAGGGGATTCTCTCTGGCTGAGGAGGGGAATCACACAATCATGTGCAGAAGAGCATGGATACAGGACAGAACCAAACTGGAGCCATTCAGAGGACCTCTCAAGTGTAACACATGCATCAGCGTCACTGGGCCGTGGGATTCAAAGGCATCTTCTGAAATGTGAGTTTTGGGATATGTCTGAGGTTGCCTCCACAAGTGTCTGATTTGGTATCTGAGTGAAGCAGCGCCTCCAGGCCCAGACAGCATCGGCCAGCCCACCAAGGCCCTGAACAAGCCAAGGCTGCACTCTCACCCGGCCTGCCTACTGCAGCTGGAACACTGGTCTTCTGACTCTGCCCTGTTGAGTCTAAGGCAATAGTTCTCAACCTGTGGATTGTGAACCCTTTGGGGATCACATACCAGATATTCTGCACATCAGGTATTTATATTATGGTTCATAACAGTAGCAAAATTACAGTTAGGAAGTAGCAATGAAATAATGTTATAGGTGGGGGCTATCACAGTATGAGGAAGTGCACTAAAGAGTCACAGTATTAGGAAGGTTGAGAGCCACTTAGGATCTAAAGCCTTCAGACTCCAGCTGTATCTACTATCCAAACACCGAGGCTCAGAACCCTTGAGTACACTGCTGAATTCCTGCATCTCCAGTTTGCCTACAGCAGGTAGCCTCCATAATGACAAGGAATCATTGGTTATAATCAACGTCATTTACACTTTTCTCCTTTCCCCTTCCTCCTCCCTCCTGCTTCTCTTTCTCCTCGTCCTCCCCTTTGTCTTCTTTTCTTCCTCTTTGTTGGTTCTGTTAATTTGGAGAATCCTGACTGGGAAAGACATATCAACAGATGGTATACAGAAAGACAAACTTTTAAAAATCAAAAGCAAACAGAGAAAAAGAGAAGAGAGAAAGTGAAGAATAGGGAGGAGGAGGAAGTAGAGCAGTCATTGATGGTAAAAATGAGAAAACCCAGGAGCAGCACCAGAAACAACCACTAATTATGGAAAAGGATACTGCAATGAAGCCACAGAAATATGTTATCTTTCTAGTCGGGAGGTGGTGGTGCACATCTTTAACCCCAGCACTCGGGAGGCAGAGGCAGGTAGATCTCTGTGAGTTCAAGGCCAAACTGGTCTACTAGAGCTAGTTCTAGGACAGGCTACAAAGCTACAGAGAAACCCTGTCTCGAAAAACAAAAACAAAAACAAAGAGCTGGAGAGATGGCTCAGAGGTTAAAAGCACTGGCTACTCTTCCGGAGGTCCTGAGTTCAACCATCTATAGTGAGATCTGGTGACCTCTTCTATTGTGCAGGCATACATGCAGGCAGAACTCTGTATATATAATAAATAAAAAAAAAACAAAAAAGAAAAGAAAAAATAAAAATGTTATCTTCCTATTTTTTTGAGGTAGTCTCTGTAGCATGAGTTCTAATTATTCTTAATAATAAAAACTCAAGAGTCAGATATAGGAGTGAAGGCTGAGAGATCAGAGAAGCAGAGCAGTTGGTCACTAGAGTTCTTACCTCTACCAATGCTCAGACCAAATGATACTGTGGGCAGACTGTCTCTTCAGACGGTACTGCTCCTCAGACTGCATCCTCAGACTGCACTGAGCTCCTGTCTCCTCCCGCCTTGTATTCCTCTCTCCACCCAGCCAAATCACTCCTGTCTCCACCTCTCCAGTGCTGGGATTAAAGGCGTGGGATCCCAAGTACTAGGATCACCTTTGTGTGAGCTCTGTTTCTCTTTCAGACTGGATCAGTTTCTTGCAGCCCAGGGTGGCCTTGAACTACCAGAGCCGGCTGCCTTTGTCTCCCAAGTGCTGTGATTAAAGGTGTGCACCACCACTGCCTAGTCTCTAGTGCCTTGCTTATCTCTACACTCTGATCTTCAGGTAAGCTTTATTTGTCAAAACAAAAACAAAATATCACTACAAGTCTCACTATGTAGCCCAGACCTCAAACTTTCCATCCTCCTGCCTCAGCCTCCCAGGACTGAGATTACAGGTAAGTAATACACACCTGCCTGATTTTCTCATTTGAAAGTTTGATTTTTTTTAAAATTAAAAATGATTTTATGTGTATGCACGTGAGTCTCCTTGTCTGTATGTGTACACATGCACACCACACCCTTTAAAGGTCTGTGAGTTCGAGGCCAGCCTGGTCTACAGAGTGAGTGCCAGGACAGCCAGAGTGGTTACACAGAGATGCCTTGTCTTGAAAAGATGGGGGGGGGGGGAGGAGGAGGGGAGGAGGGGAGGAAGGGAGAGAGAGAAAGAGAAAGAGTAAGAGAGAGAGGCGGTGGGGGATCCATCATTCCATCATCAGGGACAGAATCCAGAGTTAGAGTCAGAAACATAAAGCTGATCGTAGTTCTTCAGTTGCCAGCACGGATGGAGCCATGGTTGTACCCATGCGGAAGAGGTCCTATCTGGGAAATTCTGGAGCAGGAGAATCTGAACATGCTTACATCCCACACATGATGACACCAGGTGAAGCAGAGAACCCAAGCCCAACTCTTTGTATCTTATTGTTGTTACTGCTCTTCTTTGAGACAGAATTTTGCTATGCTGCCCAGGCTGAACAAGAACTCAAGATCCTGCTGCCTCAGCTTCTCTTGCCATGTAGCCTCGGCAGGCCAGGAGCTTACTCTGTTTCAGGCTTGTGTTAACCCAGCTGCCTTCATCTTCTGAGGACTTGGATTACAGGCATGAGTCACCACATTGGAAGAAATTATACAAAATGAAAAATAGATATTTCCATCTAGTTTTTAAAAATTTTCATTGTATATAGTCATTGTACATGATACTATGTTCCATAAAGACATTTTTATACATTTTCTACATCAAGCATATTCCTTCCCTTACCATCGCCTCACTTCTCTCCCTCATTAATCCCTTACATTTCCCTCCCCCCTCCCTCCCTTCCTTCCTTTTTTCTTTCTGTTCTTTTTTGTTGTTGTTTTGTTTTTCAAGACAGGGTTTCTCTGTGTAAGAGCCCTGGTTGTCTAGAACTCACTTTGTAGACCAGGCTGGCCTTGAACTCACAGAGATCTGCCTGTCTCTGCCTCCTTAGTGCTGGGATTAAAGGCATGTGCCACCACCACCCAGCTTGCTTCTACTTTCTTGTCATAGAAGATAATTATCTCTATATTTATATTTTATTAATTTTATATCTAGATAATAATACCATGTCACAGATAGAGAAATGATTTTTTTGAATCAATATAAAACCTAGGAACCATATGTAAGAAAAACCACACGATATTTGCTTTTCTGGAACTGGGTTAATTCCCTTAACACGATTATCTCCAGTTGTATGCATTATTCTCCAAATAACATAACTTTATTCTTCATTGTTGAAATATATATATATATATATATATATATATGCCATATTTTTCTTAATTCTCAATGTGAGACCGAAACTGGAGCAATATACTTTGCAGGTGAAGGGTTCTGTTTGCAGTTAAGACAGTTAAGAACAAGTTCCTGTTTGTCCTGCGTTAAGTCCTTGCAACTTAAAGTTTCTTTTTGTAATTTAGAGTAAGTTTCTGTTTCTTAGATCTGATGTGAACTATTTGCAACCCCATTCGCATGGTGTATATCCTTAACCGTTCCTTTCCTTTTATTGTATTATTCTAATGATGTATAACGTCTAACTCCCTTGCCTGTATGAACACCTGATATCTCCTTTAAAAGGAACTTCAAGAGGCCAGCAGGGGCTGCTCTCTCAAACCCCAATTTAGGGCATGACAGCCATCTGGCCAATCCCAAATGCACCCCAAAATACAGCTTGCTTTAACTGAACAATTGTGGATTTGGTCTTTTCCCCTTGCGATCCTCAGATTTTACACTAATACTGCTGTTGGTCAACTTTGCCTGCTTCTGTAGTTAGCTATTGTAATTACTGCAACAAGTTTCTCTGTGATGTTGACTTGGAATCAAGAGTAGTATAGCTGGGTTACATGGTTACTTTGTATAAAAATAAGTATTTTTACTCAGATTTTTAAAAAAGGCATCCTATACAACCAAAGCAATTATATGGTTGTATTATGAGAACAGACTAATACTCAAATGGGAAAGACAGAGATCTCAAAAGTAGACTTTTAGATAGATAGAGGACCCAGACAGATGACAACGGTGGTCTGCAAAAAGCTATGCAAAGGACACGGTCTTAACAAAACTATGCCATGTGTGAATCCCGGTAGTCCCGGTAGAGTCAAATGTCAAAGTTCACATTGTAAGGAAACTAGAAGAAACTGCGGCTTTGGATTAGGAAACATTTCGCGAATCTGACTCAAAATCCTAGATTACAAAACAAAGGAAACAACAGGAAGTAAAGATACAGACTGCTGATGGGCTACATAAATACTAATCTGTAAACTGCAACTTCTAGGCCACCAGGGATGGAGAACTGCACACCTGCGCTACTAGACCCTTCTAGCTTCCCGTCGCTTCCTTTTCCCGCCTTGGCCCCACCCACCTCAGGCTCAGCGTTTCCGGCCCAGCCCGGAACTAGAGCGCTTCCGGTTGGTCCTCTGTTTCCCCGGCTCCTCCGAGTCTGTCACCAGGCGGGTATCCTGGCTCACGGCCGCGCGGGCCGGGCGGGCTCGGCTTCGTCCCCCAGCTCGTAGCCCCGTTCGCCGACTTCGGGGCGCCATGGCCGGGGCCCGCCGCGGCAGGCCGGGCGTGAGGCCGCCTCTCGCTGCCCGCGCGCTCCCGTGGCCGCTGGGCCGGCGGGCACCGGTGTCGGCGTGAGCAGCCCTCGGGCGCCCGCGGATCCCGCGCTCACGGCCGCATGGCATCCGAGGCGCCTTCGCCGCCTTCGCCGCCGCCCGCCTCTCCCGAGCCGGAGCTGGCGCAGCTAAGGCGGAAGGTGGAGAAGTTGGAGCGCGAGCTTCGGAGCTGCAAGAAGCAGGTGCGGGAGGTGGAGAAGCTGCTGCAGCACACGGAGCGGCTGTACCGGAGCGCCGAGAGCAGTAACCAGGAACTCCGCACGCAGGTGCGCGCTCCGCCGGGGCCAGAGCTTCTCTATGGAGTCATTGAGATCAGTAAAGCCCAGAGCTGTTAAAAACCCCGAATACCTTCGGAGCCCGCTGAAAAGTGCAAGCTAATTTGGACGACTGTCTCAGAGCAGGCCTGAATGAATTCGAGCACGGGCTACTCGGTCTAGATTCCTGACCCACTGACGACGGGGCGTGTTTGTTTATTTATTTTTCTTGGTCACGTTTGAGTTTTGGTTGGGCGGAGGCTCACTTGGGCCTTGAGCTCGCTGTGAAGGATGACCTTGAAGTTCAGTGTTTGAATAGGCCTCCACTTCCCAAGTGCTGGGATTGTGGGCTCGCATTATTTGGTCTCTATTCCCCCCAGGTTTGGAACACGGAATCTCACTTCGTAGTCACCTGACTTAGAGTTTAGAATGTAGACCACGATTGTCCCAAACTCGTGGTCATCCTGTCTCATCCTCCCAGGCTGGGATTCAGGCATGGAACAGCACCCACTGCAACCTTTTGACATTGCTTAAGGCTGAGCTTTGAATCTGAGCTTTGAATCCCATTTCTTACCTTTAGCACCCCAGTTGCTTATAAAATCTGGTTGATTAATAGCATGCAGAGGAAGTTACACAATTTACACACAGTTGAACATATTGTCTTGGATTCATTTGTAGAGAGGTAAACCTGTCTACAGGTAAACACATACTAGTAGTTTGTAGTAAATACATACTAGTAGTGTGTTTCATCTTCATAACCTATAGTAAGGATAAATACTTGACAGTGGTGCTTAAAACAATATTTTTAGCTTGACCATTGAATAGTTGCATATTATCCTAACAAGTTATTTCCAGATACTTAATTTCAAGTTAATATGTTCTCCATAATTTAATGCTTAATAAAACTACATCTCCAGGGTAGATACTGAAATGTCCTCAAACTTTGCCATACTATTCTTTTTTTTTTTTTTTTTTTTGATTTTCGAGACAGGGTTTCTCTGTAGCTTTTGGTTCCTGTCCTGGAACTAGCTTTTGTAGACCAGGCTGGCCTCGAACTCACTCACAGAGATCTGCCTGCCTCTCCCTCCCAAGTGCTGGGATTAAAGGCGTCGCCACCACCACCCGGTTGCCATACTATTCTTTATGTGGTACGTGTGTGTGCGCGCATGCGTGCATATGTGTGTTGGTATATTCCTACCTGTGTGTACATGAAAGCCAGAGAGAGACATGAGGTGTCCTCTCTTCTCCCTCATTTCTTTGAGACAGGGTCTCTTCCTTCACCAGGACTTGACTCTTTTTGGCTAGTCTGGCAGCCAGCAATGCTCACGAATCCTCCTGGCTCTACCACCCACAGTTCTGATGTTACAGATGTGCTAGAGACCAAGCCAGCTTGTTCTTGGGCACAGCAAGTGCCCCATTTCTCTCTCTCCAGTCCCTGGCATAGTATTGTTAAACGAGCTCAGAAACTAGCTGCTGGGTTGAGATGACTTCTGTACCCATTCTTTAGAATTACACTTCTAATTTCTAGCCTAGAAATATTTAGGCTAGTTTGGATAGTGTGTAGAGACATGTCAGGGGTGGGGGAAGGAGGGAGGGAGAGAGATGCTACCTTCTAGTCAGCATTCACTTCATTCATTCCCTCCTAGGAGGGTGGGGTGTGGCTATCTATCTTCCCAAATGTTTGAGTAAGTTTCTTCTGGAGCAGTGACTAAGGGATGACCTAATAGATCCATAATATGTGCTGGTTTGGGGCTTAACAAGCCTTTCACAAGTTACTTTGTCTCTTAAGATATTTTGTGTGTAACATTGACATCAGGACAACTAATCTGTAAAGCAATTGTGTAAATCAAGACATTCCTCAAAGTTCCTGTGTAAATGTGGTAGACGCTAAGTATTCCAGTTCATAGCTGTGATGGTGGCAGGCAGTCAGCACCAGGGCGAGGCCCTTGGCCTTCTAGGGTAGGGAGTGAATGACAGGGATGAATCTGAGAGCCAGTGCCTCCTTCCTTAACAGTTTTCACTAATTTGTTTTCCTTGGCCCGGTTCTAGTCTTAGTAGTAAGAGCAGATCTCACAATTCATAAAGTGCCTAGGTGAACCTCTATGTAACTCCTCTCTGCTTTTTCTGTGTTTAAGCTTACTGGTCATCAAATATTTAGCAGCTTTTTCATTAGTTTCTTGCATACAGCACAGATTGACCTCCTGTCTGACTGATGAAGTACATGGATTGAGGCAGTTCTCATCCACTCACGGGCATGTTCACACTGTTGCCCGGGCCTGCATAGCATCTCGCAGTGGTGCTTCAGTGCAAAATGCACACAAAGGAGCAACGCTGCTTTGTCATGTTCACTGTTCCGTTCTGCTGTAGTTATTTGTGATAGGGACAGAGGATAGAGTACATACAGCATACAGATAGCATTGCTATATTGAAGTAAGTAACTCCGTGTCACTGAGTGGTAGAGAATTCAGATGAAACCGTGTAATTTTGAAGCACGAATTGTTGGCCTTTGAGACTATGAGAATAAACCTTTGCTTTGTTTTTTTCCATGCTAGGGGTAGAACTTGCCTGTATTTGTATTTGAACTGTATTTAGTTGGACTTTTCTTTCTACATTGCTGGAGACTGAGTCTAGGATCACTGGGCAGGTGTCCACACCAAGCTCCGCCCCTAGAGTTTTGGAGGGATGATTTTTGAATGGTTTGCCTTTTTTTTTTCTTTTTCCTTTTTCTTTTTCTTTTCTTTTATTTTTTTTAAGGGCAGGGTCTTACTGTGTAGCCCTGGTTGGCTTTGAAAACTTAGTGAGCCACCTGTTGGATTGAAAGGCCTGGCCCACCGTGCCCTGCTGTGATTTGAGTGTTTTCCTAGGAGTATGAAAACATCCTGAGTGGGTTACAGAGGCATGCACAGTTTGGTCTTAACTATCTGGGAGGCTGAAGTAAGAGGATTTGTTGAGCCTTTGAGTTTGTTATTTGCCTGCTGTGCAAAATAATGAGATCTGTGTTAAAAAAGGAAGGAGAAAAGCGGGGCGGGGGTGGGGGAGATGAGAAAAGTCAAAAGTCAAGCCAAACCATAACCTGTGAATTGTGGGGTCACCAAAAAGGAACTGTCTGCTTTGGGCCCAGCTCCACAACTTCTACCAGGAAACATGCCCTGCGGTGTCATGAGAACGATAGCAAGCACTATGTGTGTTACTGGATTGCTGTATGGTTTATTTTCCCTAAAGCTTTGCTTCCTTTCAGGTGGAAGAGCTCAGTAAAATACTCCACTGTGGGAGAAATGAAGATAGTAAGACGTCTGATGTAGAAGTCCAGACAGAGAACCAGGCTCCTTGGTCAATTTCAGGTATTCGTGTCTAGTTTATGACATGTTGAAGTCGGATTTCTTTAAAAGTAAAACAGACAAAATTTGTAAATATGAAGACTCTGATAACACTGATTTTTCTCTATATCACTTGGTTATTTTTGTTTGTTTTGGTCAATTTATGGTGACAAAATAGAAATATAGTATGTCTGTAATTTCTTTAATGTCTATATGTTTTCAGTGCTATACTAAGTATTCTGTTCTTGTTGCTTGAGTCGAGTTTTCAATATGGAGATAAAGCTAGCCTGGAACATGCTGGGTAGCTCAGAGTGGCTTCATTCTTATCAACCTCCTGCCTCAGGCTCTCCAGTACTGGGAAAATCCCCCTCCCCACCTTATTCATCATAATTAATGATTTGCCAGTCGGTAAACCACCTCTGTCTCTCTCCCCTTTTAATCTGGTCTGGCCTGTGGCCAGGTTTAATGGGTGCTGTTTTGTGCTAGATACTCAGTGTTTCAATGGGTGCTGTTTTGTGTTCACTACTCAGGGTTTGCAATTAGCCATTAAATTTCTTCCATACACCCATCAGCCGTTTCTGTGTCTTTGCTACAGATTACTATTACCAGGCGTATTACAATGATGATAATCTTCCCAGTAAAGAGACGGAACCAACTGCACAGCAGAGTCAGTATGTTGAAGCTTCCACTAAAGACGAGTCACAAGTAGACAGTGATAGTCATGCTGGTACTGACGGAACAGACTGTGTTAAATGTGGACAAGAGGATCCTTTCATCTCTGATTCACAGGTAATAAAAGGCTAACCATGAAATGTGGGCCCAGGAATTTATCCTTAAATTGCTTATGGAGAAAAACAGAATTCCTTGATCCACTGTGATGGACACAGGAGTTATAAACAGTATTACCCATGATTATGCAAAGAGTATCGGTTTTGTTTTGTCTTTTGAAATAAAAGTTTTTCTTTGTTGCTCAGGTTGTTCTTGAACCCCTGAGCTCAGTTGTCCTGCCTCAGCCTCCAGTGTATTATCTGTATCTATACATTCAGCTATGGTTGCTAGAAAACAGAACTGGGAATGTGTTTTTAGTTGTGATTGTTTTTCTGTTAGATTACATAACATAACTAAAGGACTGTGTGTCAGTCTATCTTAACTCAGTCCGTAAACCCTGGAGCTCAGTGAAATGACCCAGGAGGTTAAGGTGCTTGTTGTACGAGCCTGGCAGCCTGAATCCAGTTTCTAACCCTGGAACCTCCTCAAGGGCACACGGTTTTGACCTTGACCTCCGTGTGCTTGTGGTGGTCCTCACATCCACAGTCACACATTACAGGAAAGCTTTGAAGGACTCTGGACACAAGGACAGTAATGGGTTTTATACTTTATATGTAAAGTGTCTGTTATCTTGACACGGGATCTCACGATGTTGCCACACTGCTCTTGAATTTGGCACAAACTGTCCTCACACCTGAGCCTGCCAAGTACTGAGTACTATAGGTGTGTGTCCCCAAACTGGATATACCTGGAAGTAAAAGGCAGCTTTCTCTCTTCCTCCCTCACCTGCTAGCTTCAAGGCCTTTATATTAAGTGCCTCAGCATTATTTAGAGTTTTCCTGAATTTGGTTTTACAGTGTTTGAATTATGAACCTTTATCTGATATATCTCATTTAAGCTAGAGTTTTCTCCTCCATCTCTAGTTTTAAAATACTTTTATCTTTGAACGTATTTAACAACTAGATCATTGTTTAAGGAGTATTTCATAGTCTCTGCTTCCCTGTGTTATCAAACATTTAACTTTGAATAATTGTTATCTTACTTTAGTGGTTTTAAAACTCAGACAAGATTCTGAGGGTAAACTCAGCATCTGCCTCTCATCTCCCTGTCTGATCCTCAGCACTGCAAAACAAAACAAAAAAAATTCAGAGTCAAGGTTAAATTGAAAAATACTTGAAAATATTTTTTAAAAAATGGTTCAGATTATATTGATGGCTATCTATTCTTATTACAAACTGAAACACGGCTCTAAGTCCTGCGCCTTAGATTTGCTGTATCACTTGGTGTGATTATGTCTCATCAGGAGAGTGCCTCCGTGTTAGCCACCGAGGGCTCGGCCTTGGAAGGCTCCTCGCTAGCAGAGAGCCTGAGAGCTGCAGCGGAAGCCGCTGTGTCGCAGACCGGCTTTACTTACGACGAGAACACGGGATTGTATTTTGACCACAGCACTGGTTTCTATTATGATTCTGTGAGTATCTCAGATCTTTTCAGTTCTGCACTGTTGTATTTTTAGTTGCCTGAGAGCAAAAATTAAGACCAAGCTGAAGTAAGAAAAGTAAGAATTGGTATTTAAAAATTATGCCTGTGGGCTGAGGAGTGGGCTCCCATCCCTGAGTTTATTCTTCCTGTGGTCTTGTATGTTAATGATGGTGTCTGTTGTTTTTAAAATTTGGTTGAGGGGGCTGAGAAATGGCTCAGCGGTTAGGAGCATTGCCTGCTCTTCCAAAGGTCCTGAGTTCAATTCCCAGCAACCACATGGTGGCTCACAACCATCTGTAATGAGGTCTGGTGCCCTCTTCTGGCCTTCAGGCATACATGCAGACAGAATATTGTATACATAATAAAATTTGGTTGACTATAAATGGAGATATCTTTCATTTCAAATATTTTTGTTTTTCAGTGTTTTATTCTCCTTGCTCGTTTTCCTTCAAAGAAAAAAATAGAAAATTAGTGAAGATAGTTGTTTCCCAGTTTCTTACAAGTTACCCCTCCCCAAATTTCTTTATTTTTTAATTATTAAATGTTGAAGGTCGGATTTTTTTTTTTTTGTATTGTTAAGAAGTTCGGGAGTTTGGTACCAGGTTGAATTCATTTTCAGCTCTCTGATCTGTGCCTTAATTTCCATGCCTTCAAAACAGGTCCTTTGATTCTTTTATTAATGTGGTCAGTTGGACCATATGAAATTGCTTTTCCTTATAAAGCAAAACACCGTAAACAATGACAGTTTCATTTGATGCAATTAAGATTAATTTTTTTTCTTACTAAGGAAAACAGAGCAGTTATTAATTAATAAAATATTTTTGAAAATTTAAGGTTTTTTTTAATTCATTATTTCCTAAAAATACTATACTTGCTAAAACAAATATATTCACTAGATGGGAATGTGTTTGACATTTTTGTTTATTTTTCTATTCTGTTTCATTATACATGAATAAAACTTACATTTTCTTGACTTTGAAAGGAAAACCAGCTATACTATGATCCTTCCACTGGGATTTATTACTACTGCGATGTGGAAAGTGGTCGATACCAATTTCACTCTCGAGTAGATTTACAGCCTTACCAGACAGCCAGCACAAAACCTAGCAGAGATAAAAAGCTGAAGAAGAGAAGAAAGGAGCCAGGATCTTGTACAGCAAATGACGAAAGGGTAATGCTTTCTTAATTTTTATATTTTACAGTGCTGTAATATCACAAAATCAGTCACTAGAAGTAGGTGTTTTATAAATTTGGAGGAGATTTAAGATATTTAAAATGTTTTACATGCTGAGCCATCTATCCAGCCTCTTTTGTTTTTTGGAAAGAGGTTGACCAGAAATCTTTAAGATGTTTTATTTTCATTAGGTAGAGAATGTATTTGTAGTAATTTATGTTTCAAAAAATTGAGACAATTTCTTTGCATAATTAATGCAACTGTATGTATAAGAAATGGGGGGAAAAGGGTCCTGGGATGTACCTTAATTTGGAAAGTTTATTATGTTCCAGGTGTAAGGCCCTGAGCTGGATCCCTGGCATTGCAGAAATCATGGCAAGTGCAGTAAAGAAATTAAGACTGATGGAATGAGGCTTTGGTTAATTAAGAACATGATGACGTAGCTAGCAGTGGTGGCTTTAATCCAGCCCTCAGGAGGCAGAGGCAGGTGGATCTCTGTGATTTTGAGGCCAGCCTGGTCTATAAAGTGAGTTCCAGGACAGCCAGGACTGTTACATGGAGAAACCCTGTCTTGGAAAACAAACAAACAAACAAAACAAAGAACAAGTAAAGGAAAAAAATTTATATCTGAAGACTGAAGGGAATTTTAAAATCAGTTAGGAAACCATAGTACTTAAAGTATTATGAATGCTCTTCTCTTATTTCTGCCCCCTGGATGGCTGAGGTTGGTGTTGTGGGGGTGTGTTTACTACACTCACGTTGTTTGAATTGTGTGCTTTGGGAATTTTATCTCATATTTTCTAAACCTAAAGAATTTACTTAAAATAAATTCTGTCAATACTTGGAAGTAAGATTCTGTTGGTATTATTTTCTGTTCTCAATGTGTTTTCTCTTTGGAATAAAAAAGTATGTTAGTGAATTACTAGTAATTACTTTGGGATGTCCATTGTAGTGCCTTGTCCTGGTTACTAGAGTCTAAACGTTGAAGGGCGGGACTATAAAAGCCCTCTTCCTAGCAGGAAGAGGAGTGAGAAGGAGCTGTGAAGCATTCCAATAATGCCCTTCCTTTTTAAGATACTCTCTCCTCACTTCTTACAGATGAGGACGTGTGGAAGGAAGGTAACGGGGCAGGTATTGGGGAAAATATTTATGTATAGACATATAAAAATATATGCAAATATATGCACGTATACATATATGTGTTTATGGATATATATGTATATTTACATATACATATATGTACACACATGCGCGTGCACAGATGTGCTTCATTTTCTTGTCTCTTATTGGGTGTTGATCTAAAAGTCTATACCAGGAAATTCCTATGAAAAGTGCCTCCAACAGTTTGATTTATTTTCTTCTTTTATGTTTTCCAAGAAGTAATGATGATGATGATAAAAATAAAGAACAGAAGATTGGAACATACTTTTTAAGTGTAGACATAGATATTTTTAATCTAATTTACATGGCCTGTAAAGCTCCTGATAGCTTTTTAGCTCCTTGCCCTTGCTTTTGCCCTTGGGGAGTTTGTATTGCTGGGATATATATAGTTTATCACACTGCAAATGCTCAGCCTGTCTCCAAACTCTATTTATGCTGCTATTAGAAATATGCTGTCATGGTTTATAAAATTACGTCTGAACTCCCTTGGTTATTTGCGGCATGGCAGAAAGAGAAATGAGTGTTACGTTCCAAAGGGAGAGAGAGTGATTCCTCTGTGCTTCTCAGTCTAATACTGTATTGTCTGCTGTGCAGAATGGTGCCTAGAGTTAGTGACTGGAAACTGAGCCCGGGAGCTGTGCGTATTCGACACACACCTCACTGCCGAGCCGTGTCCCTGGCCCATGTATTATATTCTCTGAAAGTCACTGTCAGAATAAACTGTTACGACCACAAAAAGTGTGTAATGCACATGTTCATTGGCTTGATTTAGTCATCATTCTATACATGCTTTAGAATATATGTAATGATTTAGTCATCATTCTATACATGCTTTAGAATATGTGTAATGATTTAGTCATCATTCTATACATGCTTTAGAATATGTGTAATGATTTAGTCATCATTCTATACATGCTTTAGAATATGTGTAATGATTTAGTCATCATTCTATACATACTTTAAAATAGATGTAATGATTTAGTCATCATTCTATACATACTTTAAAATAGATGTAATGATTTAGTCATCATTCTATACATACTTTAAAATAGATGTAATGATTTAGTCATCATTCTATACATACTTTAAAATATATGTAATGATTTAGTCATCCTTCTATACATACTTTAAAATATATGTAATGATTTAGTCATCCTTCTATACATACTTTAGAATATATGTAATGATTTAGTCATCCTTCTATACATACTTTAGAATATATGTAATGATTTAGTCATCCTTCTATACATACTTTAAAATAGATGTAATGATTTAGTCATCCTTCTATACATACTTTAGAATATATGTAATGATTTAGTCATCATTCTATACATACTTTAGAATATATGTAATGATTTAGTCATCATTCTATACATACTTTAAAATATATGTAATGATTTAGTCATCATTCTATACATACTTTAAAATAGATGTAATGAAAATACATACTTTTAATTTGTTAATTAAAAATAGTTTGTTCATTTTTTATAAAGCATGCCAAAAATTAGTAGTAAAAGGTTTATGGTAGACAGGTTGAACTTTTAGAATTAAAGGCATATGAATAACTCGTTTGTATTTTAAGTTTTTGTGTGTTTTTAATGTAGCTAACTCTAAAATGTTCAGTTTTGCCAAAATCTCAATTTTGATAACATTGGTTATTTATATTAGTGTTGTTTATTAAAATATTTCTGTGTTTTATGTACACTGTGTTATTTAAAAACTCAAAAATTTAGAGTTGATACCTTCTCAAGTTTCACGCTATTCAGTAAGGCCACTAGTTACATGTGGCTAGTGCAGGTCCTATATAGGAGGATATTCTGTATTTGCAAGATTTTAAAATCATGTTACAAAAGTAAATATACTTTTTTTAAAGTTTTTAAATGTGAGTAGTACAAAGTTTAGAAGTACAAATAGAAGTTACATTACATCTTTTTTTACACAGCTTTTTTATAGGCTAGTACACAAGCCACATAGTAGGTAATGAGGGCCTGGGCTGGGAATATTGGGCCTTGAGAATGGATGGAGGCTGTGGAGTGGCCAGCACTTGGCTGTTGTCCCATGTGACGCCTTGCTGGGTATCAACAGTGGATGTTAAGTTCTAACAGCAGACTCCTGTTCTGTTGCTGTCCTGTATCCTCCCACAGTCGATGGAATTCGATAGAGTGCTCTAAGATGGCAGTGTTGTCACTACTTGCTGCTTTCCTCTGTCTAGGATTTGAGTTCAGAAGATCAGAAAGTCTGCAATGTTGACTATATAAACTGCAGCGAGGAAGACAATTCTGCAAATGTGAAAAAGAAGGCCAGAACAGACACTCACCACAGAAGTAGTCCCTTAATACCTGCTCTTCCCGTTAGTGGAGGCACTGTGGAGTCTCCTGGAGATGATAATTCAGCGTCATCTAAGGATGAGAAAATTAGAGAGAGTGAGAGTGAACCAGAAGAAGGTGAGATTACAGACTCTCAGAGTGAGAACAGTTACGATGAAGACAGTACCAGTGAGAACAAGGAATCCTCAGAAGACTCAGAGGAGGAAGGTATGCAAGGAAATAATACACAGTGGCCATAAAAAAAACAAAACTGCTGTCGGATAGCTGACAGGGCGCCCAGTTATTTTGATGACATTGGAAATTATGAGAATAATTCTTAGTCGGTTTTTAGAAGGCAAGTCCTGAGAAAATGATCACTGTATTAAGAAAGCTGCATTGTATTGAAAGGCTTCCACTGAACATAAGACTAAACTCCCTCAATTCTAAGACAGGTTAAGGCTGTGTTGCTCATGTCTGCTTTTGCAGTTGGACAGGAAAAGTAAATGGCCATTAAAAGCATAGCTCATGAAGTCAATCTCATAGGAATTATGGTCATTCTAACTTTTTTGCTTGATATGAAGATGCAAAACACTATAATTATAAACACAAATTATACTTAAATTTGTTCTATAATAATAGTCACGATAGTAAGTCTTACATGTCAGTGTATATATATGTAGATATGTACATATATATGCTTGGGTATGTAGAATTTGAAAAGTTTTTTGCTTGTTGCTATACTGGCTATTGAACCAACATGCTGGGCAGTACTCTACTACTGAATTTGGACCTATGTGATTTTAGTTAGCTGTGTGAAAAATTAATTTTTTTCTTCCTTTTTGTTTTATTTGTTTTTGAGATAGGGTTTCTCTGTGTAACTGCCCTGGCTGTCCTGGAACTTACTCTGTAGACCAGGCTGGCCTTGAATTCATAGCCACCTGTCTCTGCCTCCTGAATTCTGGGATTAAAGGGGTATGCTACCACTTCCCGATGAGAAATTAATTTCCATAACACTTAAATTAATGTTTATCCTCCTCTTACCTTGGTAGATGAAGAAAAGATTTGGCCCCCCTGTATTCGGGTGATTGTTGTTAGATCTCCAGTGTTGCAGACGGGCTCACTTTTCATCATTACAGCTGTAAAGCCAGCCACGATTGGGAGGTAAGGGTGCTTCATATTGTTGTATATGAAAGTCTTCACTTAATTTACAAAATGGATGAGCTGCATTGTATTTCAAGCACTGTTCTATGTGCTCTGGAAACAAGACTAAAACCATATCTTCATCATAAGAAAGCACAGTTAAACAAAAAAAATGATGTAAATAAACATTGTGGGGAAGATGCCAACTCTGATGTGTCAGTAAGGGCAATCCACAACTAGACCCCTGCGCTAGGCTTCCATTTAAACATCTGGTAGAAACATGCCTTGACCCTATCATTGACACTGCTGTGTTTGCACATGATCCCCAAATCACTAAAGATCCTTTACTTATTGCTGTAGGGAAAAGGATATGGAACATACTCTCCGAATCCCTGAAGTTGGCGTCAGTAAGGTAAGACCCTTCTTCTCAGTTGTAGACCTAAGAGGGAAAAAGGTGTGTGTGTGTCCTTAGCTTGTATTCCCGCACTTGGTCAGCAGAGGCAGGAGAGCTAAGAATTTGAGAACAGCCTTGACTACACAGTGAGTTCTGAATCAACCTGGGCTATATAACAAGATCTCCTATTTTTAAAAAAAAAAAAAAAAAACCCAAAGTCATTTTAGTAGCAAACTTGACTTCTTTTTAATGAGAAGGTTAATAGTGTAGCAATAGTGGTGAAGGCAGTACCAGTTTGTTTCTTACAGTGTTTGAGAAACAAGTTCTTTATCACATTTTGAAAATTATGGAGCTTTTGTGTTTGGGTTTGGTTTAAGACAAGGTCTCTTGTAGCCCAGGCTAGCCTCAGACTCACTAAGTAGCAGAGTCTAGCCTTCTAGCCTTAACCTCCAGATCCTTCTACATCTACCTCCTAAGTAATAGGCCTGGCCACCATCCATGGCCAGGGATTATTGCTGTGTATCGCCACACCTGGCTAATTATGTCCTTTTTAAGTTTGAAGCAGCAGTTACAAAGCATGGATTTAACTTAGATAGTGAATAGTAAAATAGTAACCCGTTTATTGAGTGAAGTAAATACACTGCATTTTGTTTCAATTAAAAAATATTCAACTCTGATTCAATGCATTTGCTTTGAACCCAAATGCTTTGCCACCCATGGATAACCTAGGATCCTGTTTCTTCTTTTCTCAAAGTTTCAGTGACTTCATGTTGTAACAGCAAAGGGTTGAGTTTTATAAACAAACAATTGCACCTTTAAAATAGAGGGAAGGCTTAGCTTCTGGGACTCCTTATGCTCTGGGTTTCTAGTTGCATTTTTACTGTCTTTCTGTTATTGTTGAAAGTTGGACCCAGAGCTTTGTGAATAGTAGGCAAGTATCTGCCCCTACAACTCCCAACTTTATTTTTACTTAATGGAGTAATGTGAACCTTACAGAGACTTTCTGTATTTTTGTCTATTAAGAATAGAATTTATGCCAGGTGGTGGTGACACACACCTTTAATCCTTACACTCAGGAGGCAGAGACAAACAGATCTCTGTGAGTTCGAGGCCAGACAGGTCTTCATAGTGTGGTCTAGGATAGCTAAGGCTACAGAGAAAAACCCTGACTCAAAAAACTTAAAAAAAAAATGGAATTCATTTCCCATTATTATTAGGAAAGGCCTCCCCAGCACTTGGTTGGAAGCGGGGAACTCTCCTCATCTACCTGTTCACTTATTTGTGCCTCCACAGAAAGCCCAACATGTAACTGCATTAGTAAAGAAATCCATCCCCCCTCTCAGCTAGGCAGGAATACAGGTGGAGTTTCTTGCTTTCGTTTGGTGTTAAAGAAACATTCTCTTGTAGGCAGATAATCTAGGAAACATGAGACTGATAGCACATACTACACATTCCCAGGTAGATGAAATGAGTATATTGATTTTTAAAATCTTTCAGGTTGCCATGAAAGAAAACAGAGACAAATACTTGGACATTGAATAGAAGCCTTTATGAGTTTTTAGAACATAGTAACACCGACACATCAGTAATTTTGACTAAGTTTGAAGCTTATGAGTTAAATTAAAAAGGCAGACAGTGGTGGCCATCACAAACTATGACAGGATTTATTTATATTCTCCAAGCCCATTGTGATGTCCAGTGAGTCAAGATACAGTCTGTTCACCCTGGAGACAACGTCATCACTAGACGTCATCTAGTCTTTAGAATATGCAATACAAATGTGAAGCCAATGTTGAGTTTTTATTCACAGTCATTAAAAATTGTTTCTATTGGGAGCTCAGTTTAGAGGAGCTTTGTGGAATAAGATTTGGCAGTGTGAAAACACTTTGAAACCATATAACACTTTAGTTATTCTAGATGTATTAACTATAGAAAGTCATACACAGGCAGAGGAACTTGAGTGGCTGGGGAGACAGCTTAGCAGTTAGGAGCACATGCTACTCCAGAGGTTTGACCACCTATATCAGGTGACTCACTGCACCTGTAGCTGTAGCCCTAGGGCATGTGGTGCCTCCCTCGGACTTTGTGGCCCTGTGCAGACCCACACATGGACCTACACCATACGCATAGTTAAAAATATTGAAGGAAACCTTTTAGAAAAAGATTTTCAGTAGAAATCAGAGAATCTCAAAATCAGTGGCAAACTTTTTTATTTTTATTTATTTATTATTTATTTTAAATTGTTTTTATAGAGCTATATATTTTCTTCCACAACCTTCCCTTCCTCTTCCCTCCCCTTCTACCCTCTTCCGTGGTCTCCATGCTCCCAGTTTACTCAGAAGATCTAGTGGCAACTTTATTACATATTGGTAGAGTCCTAGGAATTTTAAATTTTGATAAGAGCCAGATTTGATTAAGGATATCTATATTCTTTATATATGTATATATTTGGTTAAGGATATATATATATATATATATACACACACACACACACACACACACACACACATTAGTTTTTTTTTATTTTTTATTTTTTTTTAATTTTAAGACCGAGTTTCTCTAAGTAGCCCTGGCTGTCCTGGAACTTGCCCTTTAGACCAGGCTGGTTTCAAACTCAGAGATTCACCTGCCTCTGCCTCCCAAGTGTTGGGATTAAGGGCATCCATCACCAGTGTTGGTTAAGGCAACAAGAATTCTCATAGACAGTGGGAATATGATTGATACATCCATTTGGAAAGCAATATGGCAGGTTTAATGTAAGATTAGAAATGTGCATATAGGTGCCAGATGATGACAGGGTGGCTCTTTAGGTTTAAGTGCTTGCTGCCAAGCCTGACAGTATGGGTTTGATCCCAAGAAACTACATGGTGGCAGGAGAGACCTGGCTCCCACAAGTTGTCCTCTGACTCTACACATACACCCTGGCACATCCATACCCTGAAATGCCCAGTGTGCACCCAGTGTACCCCACGTACACAATACACACACAAAAAAAAAATGAAAAAATTTGCATATAGTGATTTGCATACAGTTCCATTTCCTAAGTATCTTAGAGAAATAGCTGGATTGTGTGCAGATGCTGTACACACAAGAAGTCTCAGAGCAGGTTTTTTAGCTTAAAAAAAATGTATGTGTTTTACTTGAATGTATATCTGTGTACTGGAATTGGATTTTCTGTGGGCCCCTAGCTCACAAGTAGTGACACGGAGACTTACCACCGATGAAAGCTAGCCTTAGCTTAGGCTTGTTCTCACGAGCTCTTATAACTTAAATTAACCTGTTTTACCTTTTACCATGTGGCTTTTTACCTTTCTTTTATTCTGTATGTCCAGTTTCATGTCTGGGTGTCTCCTCTGCGCCTCAGTTATCTCCTCCTACTTCCTCTCTGTGCCCAAAAGTCCCACCTATGCCTCCTGCCTAGCTGTTGGCCATTCAGCTCTTTATTAAACCAATCACAGCAACACATCTTCACAGTGTGCAAATATCCCACAACAGTGTGTTACTTGGGTGTCTGTAAGAGGCCCAAAGAAAAGAAAGTAATGGATTTCCTGAACTGGGGTTGCACATGGTGTAAGCCTCGGTGTGAATGACCTGCTATGTGGGGGCTGGGAATCAAACCCTGGTCCTCTGGAAGAGCAGCCAGTGCTCTTAACCACTGAGCCACTTGTCCAACCTGATCACAGCAATATTTTTAAAGATAGTAATACCCTAGAAAGCCTAGGTATCCAGTTTTAGAAGCATTGACTGTGGGGCTGTTCATATAACAAAGGGAACAACTATAGCCACTTCTTAGACAAGCTGCATAGTGTAATGCTAAGCCACGAAGCAGAGCTGCAGAATATATGAATAACGTGCTCTCCAGCGAGGGAGGCTCAGTCCCTGTCCAGAAGAATGGAGAACTTGCTTCTGTAGGGAGTTCATGAGTGTTTCAACAGTTTGTATTGAGAATTACAATGATTTTAAATAGACACTGATAGTACTTATGTTAAAAAACAGAAGAGTCAGGATATATACGAATTTTTTGTCATAGTTGAAGGTGGAAGTATAGCCTCCATATTTTCTATCAGAGACCTGTAATAATTTGTATTGAGAAAAGCATTAAAAGAAATGCAAGAGCAATGATCAAAGACTAATAGCCACACCATTGCGCACTAGTGAATTAGCTCTGGGTTGAAAATGTGCAGTGCTTTATAATTGCTTGGTTGCTTTTCTTTAAGTTTCACGCAGAAATTTATTTCGACCATGACTTGCAAAGCTACGTCCTTGTGGATCAGGGCAGCCAGAATGGTACTGTTGTCAACGGGAAACAGATTCTTCAGGTGAGTGAGTATGTAGTAATTGCCTCAGCTTCCTTGTTAGGGCTCAGGTCCTGGTCCTTATAGATAACATTTGGTTCAGATCAGAGTTCAAATCCAAGTGTGTAACTCAGTTGGAAATTTCTAGAAAGGGCTAAATAAAAAATATATAGTAGATGTTGGTCTGGTGGGTTTTGGCTTCTAGTTTTGTCTCTGTTGCTACTTTTAGGTATGAATGTATAATGAAATTTATTTAGGTTAAATATTCTTAAAAAATTTTTGTGTGTTTACATGCATGTGGAGGTCACAGAATAACTTCATGGAGTTGCATCTCACTGGCCCAGGACCGAATGAATATTCATATAAGCAGCTTTGGTGACCCTCTTTTTTCCTGCGTGCTGCTGTGAATTTAGCTCAGGTTCCTCCTGCATATTAAGCAGATGCCCTGCCTCCAATGGACCATTAGGCATCCCAAGCTGCCCTTTGTGCCCTTCTCTTGTGTTAATAAAAATAATGCTAAACTGGGGATTTGCTGAATACCAAATATCCTGGCAAAGCAACTCCAGGAAGGAAGAGAACCGTCCATTATGGTGAGGAAGACCTGGCTGTGAAGCAGGTGGTTGTGTTCTGTCAGTCTTCAGGAAGCAGAGAGAAAATGCTAGCTCTGAGCTCACTTCCTCCTGTTTGCTCAGTCTAGGATCCTAGCCCATGGCTTGGTGCGGCCCATAGTTGAGGTGGGTCTTGACAGGCGTGCCCAGAGGTCACCCTGAACTCTCCACACGTGGTGTGCCCAGAGGTCACCCTGAACTCTCCACGTGGTGTGCCCAGAGGTCACCCTGAACTCTCCACGTGGTGTGCCCAGAGGTCACCCTGAACTCTCTACCCGTGGTGTGCCCAGAGGCAATAAGCGCTTCTAGATCCTGTCAAGTTGATCATCTAAACCATCATGGAGGCCTTGTTCTTGTGCTTTAAAAGTGAAAGAAGGCAATTAAATTTCATGAAGGGATGAGAGGTGGCTCAGTGATTAGGAATACTCACTGTGCAACCATGAGGGCCAGAGTTGTGATCCCAGTGCCCATGTAACAAGTTACACACCTGCCTGAGCTCTGGCTCTGAGCAGTCTTAACCCCCTCTGCATGCATGTGTGCGCAAGCACACACACACAGAGGTAAATTTTTTTAAAAGAAGGCACTTTCCTCCTAACGTAACTCTCCTGTGATTATATGTTTTGCTAGTAGATTAAGTCCAGAGTGGGCTGGTAGGTAAGAAAATTGGTGAGTTTTAATAAGATCAAAATTATAAATAGCCTTTGGGGAATACTACAGGGAACTGTGGGATTGATCCGAGAGTTTGCTTCAGGGTAAATACATATTCTACCACTAAGTTACTGTCACGGTAGAGTGTTTCCCACAGTCCATCCATCAAGCTGTATAAGTGTGCATGTGTCTCCTTTCCTGGGTTTTCCTCATTATCATCAACATCTCTTACCATAGATAGAATATAACCATGTGACTATTTTGTGTTTTCTGTTTCATTAAAAATGTCTCATCTAGCCAAAAACTAAAAGTGATCCTTACGTCCTTGAACACGGTGATGAGGTGAAAATTGGGGAGACTGTGTTGTCTTTCCACATTCACCCCGGCAGCGAGACCTGCGATGGCTGTGAACCAGGGCAGGTCAGAGCTCACCTTCGCCTCGATAAGAAAGGCGAGCCTTTTGGTACGTGAAACACACTAAGTGTGGGTGTGATACTTTTTAGAACTTTAATTCACTAAGTATATAAAATGCAGTGTGGCCTGTTCCTCTCACCTCCCACCCTTCGTATCTCTGCCATGGGCTGAGGTAGGTGAATGTGCCCGCCTGAGTGTAGTGATGGGGTTTGTAGACAGGAGGCGCTTCCATGAGTGCTGCTGCAGTGCTGAGCATTTGTCCACTTGTGTACGGTGCCTCGATTTAAAGTCTTTTCCAGAAATTGTATTTTTAAATTGGCTTTCAAAATAGTGATTTCCAGAAGGGATTTTCATATATCCTTATAAGGTTTGACTAATTTGCATTCTAACCTCTTCATCTTCTCCCATCCACACTTAAACATTTAACCCTTCTTTCTCTTTTTGGGAGGGTGGTGTTCTGAGACAGGTTTTCTCTGTGTAGCTTGGAGCCTGTCCTGGAACTCTCTGTAGACCAGGCCGTCCTCAGACTCACAGATCTGCCTGCCTCTGCCTCCCGAGTGCTGGAATCCTCTTCTCGTATCACATGTGCCCCACTTTGCCCTCCCCCCTCACGGTCCCTTTCTGCCTTCTTGGTTCTGTAGACACATTTAAAGTTTTTCACATAGCAGAGTGAACAACACATTTTGTCTTACTTTATCTATTTATAATTTGAAAAAGACATTTTGTCTTTTTTCTGGTCCTGGGTTAGGTATCTTGGCATAATATTTTCCACTTGCTGATGAATGGATAGTAAAATATGATATACATAATGGAACTTTATTCTACTGTACTGAAAAATAAGATTATGAAATCTCCAAGAAAATACACTAAGTGTGATAAACTAGTGTGCTTTTTTAGTATTAGTTTTCTATAAAGTTTATTATATTCAAACTCAGTTTTTCCTTTTAGTTGGTCCAGCATTAAGTAAAGAGGAAAAGGAGTTGGAGAGAAGAAAAGCACTAAAGAAAATACGAGTAAAGTATGGTTTGCAGGTAACAATGTTGGATATTGTTTCATTTGTTCAGTGTACTAAGCACATTAAATATGATTAAGTGCTATTTACCATGACTACTTAGGTAATGTCTGTAGTTCTGGTGTTCATAACTGCTGAAGTTGGAGTTGAAAATGTAGCGGTTATGTTTAAGTAGACAGAGTTTTCAATAAATTCACTAAACAGCTGAAGGGGAAGATGCCGCTGCAAGCACTGATGCACAGCTGTGTGGACCTGAATTAGTCCAGAAGTAGACCCAGGTATTTGCATTGCATGTAGAAAACTTGATGTTTAAAATGATATAAACGTAATGAGATGGAGAAAGCATGCCTGCCCCTCTCCCCCCAACAAATGGTGCTACCTAGAATGATTGGATGGCCAAATTCAAAGAACAGAAACCAAAAAGTGAACGATAAGAACAAGAAGAGTGTTGGTCCATGTTATATACCTTGTAAAATGTGTTACTGATGTAAACGTAGAAATGTAAAATGTGTTTGCAAGGTAGTTCACTAGGTAGAGGCACTTGCTGCCAAGCTTGAGGCCCTAAGTTTGGTACCGGGACCCACATGGTAGAAGGAAAGGACTGACTCTCACAAACTGTCCTCAGACCTCCATGGGGGTGGGTTAGCACATGGGTAAACACAAAAATGACTGACTAATGTAAATGTAACAAAGTCTTTAAAATGTGAATGAAAGAAACAAAACTTGTGGGAATTTGTCCCCATCAATACTAGTTACTGAATTCAGGACCTCTAGCATGCTAGCACTGAACTATATCCCTAACCTCAGGAAATCTTTCTTTGAAAGAAAGGATTGGGTTGCTAGGCATAATGGTGCACCCCTTTAATCCCAGCACTCAGGAGGCAGAGGCAGGCCAGGCTCTGTAAGCAGAGATTGCTTGTTCATTCCCGGCCACCCAGACCCGAATAATCACACCATATTAATTAAAACACTCTTTGGCCGATGTCTCAGGTGTATTTTTAGCTAGCTCTTACATCTTAAATTAACCCATTTTTATTAATCTGTATTGCCACGAGGCTGTGGCCTACCAGTAAGGTTCCAGTGTTCAGGCTTCTTTCTCCTATGGCAACTACATGATGACTCTGCCTACTCTCTCTAAATATATCTCTTCCAGCCTGGCTATATTCTGCCCTGCCATAGGTCGAAGCAGCTTCTTCATTAGCCAATGCTAATAAAACATATTATTTATACAGAAGGGAATCTCACATCATCTCCCCTTTTCTATCTAATTTTAAAAGTTTTAACTTTAACAGATTAAAATTATGTATAACAAGACAGGTATCAAGTAAGAATTGCAGTTATAATATTTAGTCCATTTACATGTGGCTAATTAAGGAAAATATTATCTGTCATGTCTTTTTGAGTCTAAAGTTTTATTTCTAATTTATCTTTTATTATTACTAAGGAAAACTATAACTGTCTTCAACTCTTCAAAGACTCCAGAAGGATATACTATTACTTAAATAAACAGGAAGTGCATTATAAACAACTTTATAAGCAAAGTTCTAGAATTGACAGACATCTTGCTGCCTGGACAGTCACCCAAAGTTCTTTTTTAACATTGGGGATCCATTGTCAGCCTACAGGCCCATAGTATCTGGCAGACTTTTCCGTGAAGCAGGAAATAAGATCTATCTGTTCTGCCTTGTACTGGCAAAGTTCATCAGTTGCTTTCTTCTGTGTCCTGCAGAATGTCTGGCAGACTCTTTCATGAAGCAGGGAATCCTGAAGGACCATCTCACTTTCTTTTTAGCAAGTTTCTCAGTCATTTTTCTGTGGCTCCTGCATGTTCAGTTCATACAGAATACCATGAAGAATTCCAGGCAAGAGCAATTTCTTGCCCAAATGGCTAACAAACTCCATAGGAGCCTCTTTGATGCCCATCATCCTCTTGACGTAGACTGGTGCTGCCAGAATCAGACATGTCTCACTGTTGAGAAAAGTCTAAGTTCTTAAATCATTTTAAATGCCATATTCTATAGGTCTTTAAAGTGTTGAAGATTATCTAACTGAAATATATCTCTGTATATCTAGAAAACTTAGCTAACGTGACTACAAATTTGACTATTATAGAAGACTATTGATCTGTATTTTTTAATTATATGTACATTTTTAAATGAGCTGCATAAACACATACCTTAAACAAAAATAGAAATATACATATACCAAATTGACCTTAAATTTGTATCAATAAACCAAAGTCTATACTAATGTAAAGTATTTATTTCTATACATACCCCTCTTTAAATGAAAACATTTATAAACAATCATTTGGGGAATCTGGGCATAGTTTTTCCAAAGTGCTTCCAGCTGTTTGTTGGATGAAGTATTTTTTAGGGTTCATGGAGACCTTTTGGGTTCTTGTCCTATCAAATCACATTAGCCTGGAAGGAATTCACAGGTTCTCATCCTCTGTGGAAACAAAAGCAGATCCTCTTTTTCAAAGTAACATATCCTTAGACCCAAATTTTGAAGTTAAGATACCTTTATGTTGAATTAATTTATCAGCCCCCAGAAACAAATGTCTCTCTGCAGTCAAAAAATTTAAAGAAAACACAATAATATGCATAACCCAGACTTTCTGTGCATTTTCATCTTTACATGGCTCATTTTTCTTTACTCTTTTAATCTATGACTATCTGTACTCTTATGTTACTTTTATTGTCTCTTTAAAGACTTTGTTTTATTTTTTAAAGCTATTTTTTTATTACTGTCTATACTCTTTTTTTCTCTCTTCCACGCCTACTGTACATTTTTAAAACATACTGTGTCTCGTTTAGAGGCCTTTTATGTCTGAATCTGTTCTATTGTGTATCTGAAATGTTTTTCTGACAAGGAGCTTTTTGTTGTTGTTGTTTTTCTCTTTTGTTAAGAGGGCATGGCAAGGACCATCTCCATGACCCTGCCTGTTTCCCAGTCCAACATGGTAGAGAGCAGAAAATGGGACAAAGCTAAGAACTCAAAGCCCTTCCCAGAGACATATGTCTCCTGCAAGGCTCTGCCTGCTAAAGGTTCCATTACCTCCCAAACAGCACCACCAGCTGGGGACCAAGTGTTAAATACATGAGTTTGTGGGGGTGGGGGCAACCCTATGTTTAAAAAGAAAAGAAAGGTACTAGATTTTAGCAGACACTTTCCAAAGAAGATACTGTTGGAAAGTAAAGACAATCCCCCCTCCCCCCAGAAAAAAATCAGTAAGCGATTACTACAGTGAGATATCAGTGAGCATCTATAGAATGGCCATACAGTCATTCACAGGGTGTTCAGGAAACTGATGCTCTTGTATGGCTGGTAGGAGTGTTGAATGGTGCGGTTACTCTGGGAACACAGTGTGGTAACTTTAAAAGTTAAAAGGGCTGGAGGTGTATCTGTCATTCCAGCTTAGAATAGTTTTCTACAGAGCCTGATAGCAAATGTTTGTTCTTGTGTTTTAGTAACACTTTCAAACTGAGAGAGATTCAGATGTATTTTAAATATGGATAAACAAACCATGCTGTAGTCTTATAGTGGAGTACCATTTATAAAATGCAGGGACTGTTGAAACTGGGTGTAACCTGGGTGCTACTACCACACCTGGGTGCATGCACCTTTACCATGAGCCTGCTGTACTGTGTTAGGTTCTTTGGGATCCCTAGAGAAGGGGGAAGTAGATTTTTTCTCAATCCTAGGGGTTCAGGCTTTATTATTATGAGTGCACACCTGATGTGTATGTGAGCATGCATGCCACAGTGCTTGTGGAGGTCAGAGGACAGCTCTGTGAAGGTGGTGCTCTTCCATTTTCATAAGGAATAGGAATGGGGCTCGAGTCTCCAGGCCCCAGGGCGAGTGCCTTTACCCATTGAGCCATTGAATACTAGTTCATATGACGATAGAAGGCCACAGCAGCAAGTGAAAAGTAGACTGGATTTTCAGCGTATTATCTCCTTGTTTTGTTTTTTTTTTTTAATTTTGTTTTGTTTATTTTGTGATACAACTTGAAAGCATGTTTAATAACGGGCAGCATAGATAGCCACTTGTTTTCATTCATGTCTGGAGAGTTGCCATTGAACCATGTTTACTAAATTATATTTTTATTTGCTTTCTTTTTTCTCAATCAATGGTTTGTGATGGTTAAGAATACAGACTACGAAGATGAAAAAGCGTTGAAGAATCCAAAATATAAAGACAGAGCTGGAAAACGCAGGGAGCAGGTTGGAAGCGAAGGAACTTTCCAAAGAGATGATGCCCCTGCGTCTGTTCACTCGTGAGTGTTGACTGACACCTGTATGATGGTCCTTCTTAAGTTTTTTGACTAACTAGTTCTTTTCTTATGGTAAAGTGTCTTTGAAAATCAACATGAAAAAATGTGATTTTGAGGACTATAATATGACCACACTTTGTATTAAATTGGCTGCATTATTTTTCATTCTTGATTGAGTCAGATTGAATCTTCCATGCAGAAATGAAAATTATAAAATTGTGATTTTTCTCCCTTGTTCTCAAACTGTATCACTTGTGCACACCAGGTTGTAGCATGAATAATGAAAAACCAGAGATCAGGAAAACAAAGCAGTTAGCCACTGACTCTTATCTCTGTCTCAGACCAAAAATAGGTGGTCCTGCCTCCATGAATCCTCAAATTGAGTCTGAATATCAGACCTGTCTCCTCCTGTTATATATTCTTCTATAGTGCTGGGATTAAAGGCGTGCACCACCACCTCCTGGCCTCTATGGCTGACTAGTGTGGCTGCTGGGATTACAGGTGTGCGCCACCACTGCCTGGCCTGTATGGCTGACTAGTGTCACATTCTGCATTCTGGCCTTCATACAAACTTTATTTATTAAAACACAGTATATACCTGTATAAAGTTTAAATAGTTACAGTTGTAGAACGGGATGTCCTGCTCTGCATGGAATCAGTTGCTGAAATGCAGTGTTATAAACAGATGCAGCACGCAGCAGGACAAACACGGCAACAATAGAACATTTCTTACGTTGGAGAGCATGAAGATTACATTAGATTTAAATTAGACGGAAAGAGTGATCAACTTGGCCTGCGTCACTTGGTATATTATAAAAGAAGCTAAAAGTCACTCTCACACAGTGAGACAGTAATAAAACAAAATCAAAACTCTCGCATTAACAAATCCATCACACAGAATGCAAGTAGGGAACAAAGGGTTCTGTTTCCCTTTCATTGGTACGTTCCTATATGTAGAAAGTCATACTGTTCTGTGCTGGCTGTTCCAGCTTGTGGAACTGTGGAAATCCAGCTCACTGAGAGTGCACGTTTCATGGACAAGAAGTGCACAAGTGTCAGTAACCTTTGACCTGTGCTGATCCCTGCCCTGTTCTCCTTCCTAAAGTCGATCTCTGTCCTGACAGCAGAGCTTCCACTGACTCTGAAGCTTTAAGTGACTGGAGCAGTGCAGTATTCATGTGGCATCTGCATTCTTTTGTCCAGTGTGGCTTTCTTTGATACAGCTTCCTTTCATTGCCATAGAACTTCCTTTATGAAATCCTCAGTCTGTCTGTATGTGGGTATCTCATTAATGTGAGTTGCTTATGATTTGTTGCCATTAGGTTTGCTTGCTTGCACATATGTCATTACGTGCATTTCCGTTAGTTGCATCTATGGAGTAGAATTTCTGTCCTCTATGAGTTAGCAGTTTTTTTAAAGTAGCTGTACCAGTTACTTTTAATGCAGGAGTTTATTGTACATATGGCCTTAAAATTTTTATAAATCAGTTATCTTAATTTTCCTCTACAGTGAAATTACAGATAGCAACAAAGGCCGGAAGATGTTGGAGAAGATGGGTTGGAGAAAGGGAGAGGGCCTGGGAAAGGATGGTGGAGGAATGAAAACGCCGGTAAGATGTGTTTTCTTTCATTCATAAATCTTTGACTATACATTGCCAGGCTCTGGGGCTATAGTAGTAACCCAGAACAGAAACGATTAAGGCCTTTATTGTGTTCTTACTTAACACATGTGGGTTTTGTTTTGGGAAAGCCTTGTTAGATTTTTTTTTCTTCCTTAAATCAAGTCTGTTAAAGTGTTATTTCCTGAGTCAAAGGTTTTCTTGTGCTTTTTAGTTGTGTGGGTTTCTGGGTTGTTTGTTTTACCATGTTGGGTGCTAAACCCAGGGCCTTAAACATGTTAAACAAGCTCTCTTGCCAAGCTACTCTCAGTCCTTTTAAAATTTTTAAATGACATTCTTACTAGTCTGGTGCCGAACATTGCAGGACCAATCAGTGTTTGTTTCCCTGTAGGCGGATTCTGCATTAGCTGAAGAATCTGTTGTGCTTAAGCAACCCAGGGCTCTGTATCTACAGTACAAAGAATAATGTCTAGAAAACAATGCATCAGTTAAATTCTGTAATCCCATAGTTGATAGGAGATAACAGTTTTCTTTAACTCTCTCTCTCTAAAGTACTTTTGACAGTAGACCTTTATGTAGTACTTGATAAACTGCCAAAACAGACAGACCACCAGCATGGATATGTGTCAGTTTTCTCATGTTTATTGTAGCATGATGGGAAGAATGTCTTATTATTAGACCCTGAGTATGTATGGGCCTTATCACTGAGTCTTTGGGCGTGTTTGAAATTATATCATTTGTATAAGGTGGGCATGATAAGAACCATGTTCAAGGGTGTCCTGTAGGTAAAGCCTCCTCTACCCATTTTAATGCTTAGTCTTGTACATTTACTTGGGTGAGGCGAGGCAGTGGTTTAAATAGACCGTGGCCTTTACTTTTGATTAGAATGGAATGATACACTCTGCACCATTCCAGTGTGTCCCTCCTGTGTCTGTGGACTGAGCAGTCTAGTATAGCTAGGAATGCAGCTGAAATAAAGCATAAACTTACATAAAACATAATGGGACTTTTTCATCACAATTGAAAAGGTCATGGCTGTCTAAGGACCATTTTTTAAATAGAGTTAGCTGTACTTAGGTCTGGCAAGAGAGTGCAGACACAGTGAGTGAGCTTAGGCTCCGTGGGAAATAGTGTAGTAAGGAGTCCGTTTCCTTGTTTGTCCTGGCCACCCAGAACCAAAATAACCACACAGAACTATTTTAATTAAATCACTGCTTGGCCCATTAGCTCTAGCTTCTTACCGGCTAACTCTTACATATTAGTTTAACCCATTTAATCTGTGTATTGCCACAAGGTTGTGGCTTACCGGGTAAAATTCCCAGCATCTGTCTCCAGCAGTTCCATGGTTTCCTCCCCGACTCTGCCCTTCTTTCTCCCAGCATTCAGTTCTGTCTTCCCTGCCTATCTATGTTCTGCCCTATCAACAGGCCAAGACAGTTTCTTTATTTATTAATGGTAATGACAGCACACAGAGGGGATTCCCACATCAAAATAGTACATATATTCCTATATGTATTCATGCATTTGACGTGTTTTCCTTACACGAGCCTTTAATATGTCAAAGAATTATAGGAAGCGTCTCTCCCCAGAGTGGCCCATAGCAGGTTTTGGTGTGTTTGGGTTCTAAAACAAGTTCTTTGTTCAACTTTCATAATAGATCCAGCTTCAGCTTCGACGGACACATGCGGGCTTGGGTACAGGGAAGCCGTCCTCAATTGATGATTTCCACTTTCTCCAGAATAAGAGCAAAAAGAACTGGGACAAAGCAAGAGAGAGGTTTGCAGAAAACTTCACAGATACTAAACCTCTGAAAGATGCAGCAGGGGCAGTGCCGTGGGTGAAGGGGACTGCAGAATGAAGGTCTGTCACAGGAAAGACTGGAGCTTTGAAAAGATTTTGGAAACTTTTATTGTACAAACTTGGGTCCCCAAAATGTCAGTGACGGGGGAGCTCGTCAGATGGCCTCCTGCTCCACACATGTGTGCTTTACAGTTTGCAGAGAGCATTTTCCCTAGCAAGCAGGAGCTGAATGAACTCATGCAGGAAGTGGACTGCAGGTCACGGAGCACAGGCGGAGCTTGTCAGACTTGGTTGTTTATACTGTCATTACCATACCTGTAGAGGGCCACTAGACATGTAAGCAAAATCCAAGTGACCAGTAATGACTTCAGTGTACATTTGTCCTGTCTCCCTGTGCCCGTTGTTTTAAGATGCACAGACAAGAAATTCTGTGTGTGTACTTGTTTACACCTTTAGAACTTAGGTTTTTGTTTTTTTTTAAATTGAGAAACCGTGAGTAGTGGAGCATAATCTTATCCTGAAATAACTGCAGTAAATTAAGAACTGATGAGCAGGTAATGTGTTATAGAAAATTAGTCTCAAACTGTTTTCTTCTGTGAAGAATGTTGATTTGTACTATATATTCAGCATTTGCCTTTGGGTTTTTCCTAGCTGAAGAAATATTTGATAGAAACCACTGGGTGTGTATTGGCGTATTCAATGTGCTAGCATTTTTAGTTTTGATAAACACCATTGCAGGCAATGGGATCGTGCCAGAGAAATCTGACAGCTAGTACAGATGATCACTTAGCCAAGGCTTCAAACACAAACATTTCCTGGAAATGTCTTCAAATGCAATAAAAAAATTTTAAAGACTTGATTTCTTGAATAAATGAATAAATATTGGTCTCCTTTGTATATGCAACCAGTCAGAATTGTCCTCTTTGCACTGGCAGACCAGTGGCGAGAGGAAAGCCTTTGTCTCATTCACAACTGTTCACTGGGAAGTTGATGCTGGAACTGTCTCTCTCTTTTTTTTTTTTTTTTGGCAGTAAGTATAAACTGTAGCTCCCATCTGCAAAAAAGAAAAATGTCTTCAAGATTCAGAACAAGTGCAAGATATTCTGATAATGAAAGAGATAAACAGTCATGGAAATAATTCATAATTAAAAGTTGCTCGTGGATCTCACCCCCTAGTGGTACAGGGCATGTGGTGGTGGGCACTGAGGAGTCAGTTATGACTGGAGGAGAGAAAGACCAGTTGACAAGGCCCCAGAGGGCTGGGTGGGAGAATTTGGCCTTATAATTCCTCATTTGGATACTGTTTCTTTGTGTCCTTACACATGCATGCGCGCGCACACACACGTGCAACTTGGAGGCAGCAGGAGTGCTCTGCTATTTCTCTAAAATAGAAATCAAAATTATATTTTGGTGCTGTTTTCCCGACCTGGTGGCAGCAGACAGTCAGAGCAGGTTTGACTCTGCTGGTTCTCCCTCGTGAGCTCAGTAAATGACAGCTATTTCCCACCTTTAGTCTACTTTGGGGGCAAGTGCTTTTCTAGGCGTTTTTGCTAAGAAAATGGAAAACTAGAAAACAGTAAAAGCTGAAATGTATGTGCATAGTACTTGCATTCTTAAACCATTTGGCAGGTCTAAAAAGCTCAGGGCCTCACTGTGTTATTAATGTACTGAATAAATGTCTGCTTCTGTCTGGAATTTTATCATACAAGTCTCTATCATACAACAAAAGAGATGTATGTGTAACCAATTGGTAAACTGTCAATGTAGAACATATGTGAGCTTCTATTTGCTTAGAAGCATAAATGTGAGCTATATACAATTTAGATCTTGCATAAAATTGTTTTAAATGCAAATTTTAAGTAGTACTTTATTCACATCGTACAGATTTGCTAATTTACATAGTAGCTTTTAAGTTCTTGTTTTAAATTGAACTACAAGTTACTGAATTTTAATCAACATCTTATTTTTGTCCAGAACATTGGAAATTTACAGTTGGGGACTGAAGAAGCCATCCACTGTATCAGAAATCATTTTTTGGTGTTAAATAGCTAATGGAAGCTCTCCTCACAAAGAGAGGATTCCCCCAGCGTTTGAGACAGGGTTATTCCAGCATTTCCTCTTTACAGATTCTGAAACAGGGTTATTCCAGCATTTCCTCTTTACTGATTCTGAACTTCAGATTGCTCCACCCAGCTCTGAAGGCTTCCAGGTTTTCTTGTGAAAGGGCAGGCATTAACTGGGCATGTTTCCCCAGGGCAGCAAGGAGTAGAAATCCCAAACATAGGAAAACAGAAGGCATGAGGAACTTTGTAAAGTCGTGGAATCAAAGGGGTACACACCTTTAAACCAGCCCCTAAGTTGTCCTTAGGGACACATGGACACAGTCTCCCGGGAACCTGGCTCACCTTCATTTCTGCTCTGAGTCTGACTCAGCATTTCAGAGGATGCTTTGGGTTCCTCAGTGAGACGGCATGCCTGTGTGTACCTGCTCATCAGGGCCCAGGCCTTGCCCAGTGCCTCCCTGCCTTGTCATATTTTTGGCATGTGGTAAAGTGACTTTTGGAACTCTGGACATTGCTGTCTTAGAGGACTATGTACATGGGAAAACACGGTACAAAATGGCAGCCCTTTTCTGTCAGGAAGGCAAGTGTCCTCAAGCTAACACTGCCCCCTTCTTATTATACACAAGAGACTCATTCAACGCAAGGAACAGGTGGTCACAGCTGGCTTAAGCCAATCATGAACCAACAGGTGGAGCCGAGCCTGTTGCTGTTGGAACACAGTGAGGTTCCGTGGACAGTGAGGCAGTAGATCCTGAGTAAGCAGGTAACCTAACTCCTGAAGTAGAGCCTGGGGTTGGTTAAACCGTGGTGTAGCCTCACTGCCTTGTTATCCATTCAAACAGACTCCTGTACACTGATAAACATTTGGCTGGGCTGGAGAGATGGCTCAGTGGTTAAGAGCACAGACTGCTCTTCCAGAGGTCCTGAGTTCAATTCCCAGCAACCACATGGTGGCTCACAACCATTTGTAATGAGATCTGGCACCCTCTTCTGGCACGGGGGCATGAATACATGGAGGCAGAATGTTGTATACATAATAAAAGTAAACAAATCTTAAAAAAAAAAACATTTGGCAATGCTTTCTGACCTTTAAAGGCAAGTTGTAGGATGTGCGGTCACACATGGACTTAGCGATCCAAGGAGAAGGCAGACTTTTACTTCCTTTTTACTCTCACTGTGAATTCAATCTAAGGTCTCATGCATGCCTGCATAAGCGCTCTACTGAGCTGCACCCCAGGGACTACTGAAAGAGTTAAGCTGGGAAGGGGCTTTCACTGGATTGCCCTTCACAGGGTGACTGGTTGATTGGAGGGGGAAGAGGACGGCTGGAGACTTGGAGGGTTCGTGGGTATTGCAAATCCTCTGCCTACAGCCAGTGCTGTTCCATGCTAGAAGGCAGGAAACCTTGTTTGTGTTTCTCACCGTTGTTTTCTTCAGCGCCTAGTTGAGGGTGTTTGCTGGCCAGGTCCTTGGTAATTCATGGCTGGAATGCAGTGCGCTTTGGCTGTGTATCAGGGACTGCACAGGAGGTTTGTATCATACCTGGCTCTTAAAGAATTAGAAAACCCAGGCTTAAGAGGTGGTTTTGTTTGTTTTGGGGGTGGGGGCTGGGGTAGAGCTCAGCGGTAGAGTCCCCAGCATCCTCTGTATTTAAAGAAAGAAATAGAAAAGGTAGGGGCTTTATTTTATTGACGGTCGAAGCCTGCTTGCTGGAAGTGGCAGCGACACCCCATCCTGTTGGCTGAGGGTTCCTTTAAGTGGGTAGAAATCTCAGGAAGAAATATGTCAAGTTCTCTCTCTAGTGGCGTTCTTTGACTGGTAGCAGTGACCCGCTGCAGTGGGCAGGCAGAAGCTGGGTCACAGTCCGTGTGCACTCCCCTGCCATGTCTCTAACCCTGTAGTGCCAGTGTTAACAGCTCTTAGTCTGTGGTCTGAGACCCTCGGTCCCAAACGCTTGTCAGCTCCCTGGGTCTCTTCCGGCACGGGGCTGGAAGCGTTTCTTCTCTGACTCCTTACAGCTCCTCATCCTTTAGCCTCAGCCTCCACTTTCTTGTCCTCTCTCTCGATTTCCCTTCTTGCTCTGGCCACTCTCAAACTGTTCAGCCACTGGCTCCAAATGCTGCTCTTTATAACTTCCACACTGCGGCTCCTGCTGGGCCAACCAGGGTACAAACCAGCGTGTCTCAGCAAGCTGGTGGAGATCCCGGTGCCTGGTGCCTCTGCTGTGGCTTCCCTCTGTCCCTCCTTCCGTGCCTCCCTCCCTTCCTCCCCCCTTCTCCTCCTTCCATCCCTTTTTGCTATTAGCTCAGACTACACTACTCAAAGTAGGTAAGACCATTCTAAAGAAAAGCCTGTTGTTGGGCCTGCTTTGCAGCAGCAATGAAGGTAACAAAGGAGCGTGCCTCTCAGCCGACCGGCGGAGAGAGTCTGAGCCGCCTGCTTGTGTAGCTGGGGAATGTCTGTATATCAGAGTTTGTTTTGGACAGTCAGTCACATCGATGCTTTGGATTTGGACCAACCACAACCTTGTTTCTAGACACCGGTTGAATCTCCCTGTTCGACCACCAGGGGGCGTGCTGCCCCCCTGGCCAAGGAGGAAATAGTTGCAGGATTATCGTAGTAGAGTTCTTCTAGTCTTATGGCAGCAAGAGTCTAGCTCAACTGTTTTGAAGAGCCTGGCTGAGGTTAGCGCTGCATCCACAATACCACCATCAGGAGCGATACCAATAAGTAATATGCCACCTCTGCTTTGCCTGTGTCATAATCAGGGTTACTATTGCTGTGATAAAACACCATGATTGAAAGGATTTGTTCGGCTTACACTTCCACATTATAATCCTCATAGCTTGCTAATCCTGCTTCCTAATAGAGCCCAGGGATGGCACCTCCCACAACGAGCTGGGTCCTCCCCGTCAATCACTAATTAAGAAAATAACCTACAATCGGGTTCTTTTGAAGGCATTCCTTAACTGAGGTTCCCTCCTCTCAGATGACTAGAGCTTGTGTCAAGTTGACATAAAACTAACCCCACAGCTTTGCCTTATTGCTTAGCTGCCACCGCCACTGCGGCCACAGCGAGGAAGAATCGACTGGGTCATTGCGCACTTGTCCCAAGGTAGCTGCAGACTATTCATAGTGGCTGGTGCTGGCATGAGGGTGGTCCCAGTTGTCTCTTAGAATGACCATACTCTTTTTCTCAAGGCAGCCAAAGCAGCAAAGGGGAGTCTAAAGGCTGCTAACTAGGGAGCCAGACTGCCCCATCCAAGGCTGCCTGAGATGATTGTAGGTAAAGGTACCCCTGCCAAACTTGATGACCTGAGTTCCATCAGGACCAACGTGGTGGAAGGAAAGCTCCAACTCTGGTGGGTTCCCCTCTGGCCTCCACTCTTGCACAGGTATGTATGTGAATGCCCACACAAGACTAGGTGAATGATAAAGCAACGGAAACCTTTGTCCTGCTCTTCCTTAACACGGTGCCCATTCTGCAGGAAAATGGAATGGCAGAAGTACTCACAATAGGAACTTAACTCATAATTAACACTAGTTATTTTAACAGATCCTAACCATGCTTAGTGACTGGCCAGTGGCTCAGGGAGAGGTATACTCCCTTTTGTGTGTCTCTGCAGAGCTGGGGTTTTAGTCTTTGTTCTTTTCATCCTGGGTTCAAATTAGGGCTCCAGTCCCTCTGAGCTGAATGACCGTTGGAAATGTATTTCATCTCTGTGCCTTGCGATTACTGGGAAGTTAATGAGATGGACCTCTGTGGTACTGCATAATAAACCCTCGATGGTCGGAGAGTGTTGGCACTGTTTCCTTCTGTGGTGCTGATCCCCCAGGTGTGTGTGTGCATCTGTGCCTGTGCATGTGTGTAGCAGGCCTGGAGTGGACATGTGGTTACTGGCATCAGGGGAGATTCGAAGTGGGGCTAAGACATTCACTTCATTGTCCACAGAGAAAGGTAGTAGGTGTAGACACTTAGGTGCAGACAAGTCTTGAGTTAGGAACTGCGTTTCTTAGTGGATGTTAGAGACCAAATAGGAGGTTGGTAGGTGAGATGGGAGAAAACTCAGAAGTTATTGTAGGTGGTCTTTACTGTCAAGGGAGGAGTAGATTTGGCAAGACTTAAGGAAAAAAGAAGACTTTAGAAACTTGTGTTTCAGCATCATGCACGTAGCGCAAGCCAGGTGTTGTTTCAGGTTCTTAGCAAGGCCACAAGAACAAGGCACATGGACAGCCTGCAGCCTTCATGGAACCTACGTTTATTTTCAGCTAGAACTGGGCAAAATGCAAAGGCCAAATGATCCGTGAAAGGCCTGATAACGGTATGGTTTTGATCCAAAGACTTTCCATTCATATCCAGAGTTTTAAAGCTAGATTTCTGGGGGCGGGCAGGGGGTGAGGAGGAGTCTTATTCCTTTTTCATGTTTTCAGATCTGTCTTCAAATCTACTTAGAGGAGTCTTAGGAACTTTGTCTTGAACTATTCTTAGTCATCCTTTTGAGATTTGAGACACGAAGATGACAATAAAATCTTGCTGAGGCTGTGGCCCCTCTTTTGATGGTGCAGCATCTTATCTTACTGCCTGAGAGTGTAGCGACAGCAGCGAAGACATCGGGTCACATACCCTTCCCAATCTAGCAGTAGATGAGGGTCACACCAAAAATCAAGACAGAAACAGTGAGTCAGGCTGCAAGGTGTTGGTGCTGACTGAGACAGCCCCTGGGGGCCACAGAGGGGAACAGGAGAGCAGGGGAGGCCCATGTGTATGGATATAAGGATGCCCCTATCTGTCTGCTCAGGAAGAAAGTGCTCGCAAAGTTATTCTTTGGAGAAGTGAGCGCTCATCATCTGTGTGAAGTCGCCGTGGCATAGTACCGCTCAGTGAGCAGAAGACAGAAGTAGCTGGCGGAATGTTATTAGATGTATTTGAAGAAGTGAGAGTGAAATTACTTAACTTCCCATTACCGGCAGACTCAAAGGTTAGGAAGGTCACCGGCTCATTCACCTGAACATTACTTATCTTGACCAAAGGCCCATGAGAACCATTCTGAGAGAACAAGGCTTTCATTACCGTTTAATGCTTCTTTCTTAAAGCTCTATTTTAATTTGATGAAGTCTGGTCTCAGAAATATCATAATTAAGGTTTTCATAAGAAACATTTAATACTGTTTAAGTACATAATGGCTGCTAGCGTTCCATGTCATAAACCAACTAAAACGGGCTTTAATCTCTTCTGTAACTATGATGCCTTACTTAACCCTAAGGCACGGTGCTGCCAGGCCCTCTTATTAGTCACACGAAAGTAATTATCATGACTTCACCATCATTTCATCTTGTTAGTTGGAAATATTAACCTGGCTAACCATGCGCCGTAGTCTCTGGGCTCTAGCACTATTTTTAAATATGAAAAAATTTTCTTAAAGATGCCTATTTGCTAACTCAAAGAATGTCTTTAAAAATGGGCTAGAGAAACAACCTAAATGCCCCTCAACCAAAGAATGGATAAAGAAGATGTGGTACATTTACACAGTGGAGTACTACACAGCAGAAAAAAATAATGACATCTTGAAATTTGTGGGCATATGGATGGATCTAGAAAACATCATATTGAGTGAGGTAACCCAGACAGAGAAAGATAAATCTAGTATGTACTCACTCATAAGTGGCTTTTAGACATAAAGCAAAGAAAACCCAGCTTACAATTCACAATCCCAGAGAACCTAGACAACAATGAGGACCCTAAGAGAAACATACATGGATCTAATCTACATGGGAAGTAAAAAAAGACAAGATCTCCTGAGTAAATTGGGAGAGTGGCTCACAACCATCTGTAATGAGATCTGGTGCCCTCTTCTGGCCTACAGATAGACAGAACACGGTATACATAATAAATAAATCTTTAAAAAAAAAATTCCAAACGATTAGTGAAATGGTGGACTCTGGGGCTTTCTGTCTTAAACTGCGACATGACATTCAAGCCAGCTGTAAAAAAAAAAAAAAAAATGAAGTCTTACAAACTATTCCCCCTGACAAGCAAAATTTATCTATTGGAGCCAAACCAAGAATCTAATAACTGTCACCTTTCAAACGTTTTCTTATCAACTAAAGAATTTAAAAAATTGAATAGGGATATGGCTCATATGCCTTTAATCCAAACCCTCTGGAGGCAGAGGCAGGTGGATCTCTGTGAATTTGAGGCTAGTTTGGTCTACATAGAAAGTTCTAGGTCAATCAGTGCTAGTGAGACCCCCCCACCCACATACACACATGCTACTTCCAGTTATTCTGTTTGGATTTTTTTTAGAGAATTAACGATAAATGAATTAAAAGACTCACTACAGGACAACTTGTAAGCACAGATGAGTGACTTGCCCAGCCCCAGGGAAGACAAGACCCCAAGCAGCCGTATGCTGACTGGCCTAGTCAGAGACGTTAATACCTTTATGGAAGAGTCATGGTCTTCCAGATGGGTGGACTTACCACATGCTATGCAGGTGTGCTGCTACCGAGCCACACCCCAACCCTGGGTGGGATGTTTACACCCGGAGACTGAAGGGGTTTAGAGGAAGGCAGGCAAAATGGGGCAGAACAAGGCTGTGACCAAGTTGAGAGATGTGGGGGGCAGTGGTAAGATGAATCCCAGGTGAATGGAGCATGACACAGGGAGGGTGCCGTGTTTCACAGACATAAGCTCAGCAGTGCCTAGGCTTCCGTGAATGCATTTCGGCAGCATTCTGCTTCACAGCAGTTGGGCAAGGGCGAAGGGAAAGCCTGTGAGAACGTGTTCTCATCTACACGATGAACATGCCAGGGACTGCTACATGTGTTCTGGGAGTGTGGTCTTTGGAGACAAGGTCTTGGGTAACCCAGGTTGGTCTCAGGACGACCTTGAACACCTGATTCTCCTGCCTCACCTCCCAAGGGCAGGGATTGTAACAGTGCGTTGCCATGCATCTAGCACAGCTGTGGCACCTGCTGAAGGCTCAGGCGATGTTAGTCACTATTTCCACAAACAGGAAATGGGGGCATGGTGCAGGAGAATTGTCTGTATTCTGTCAATCATGTTATAAATAAACGCTGATTGGCCAGGCAGGAAGTAGCAATGATGTAATGAGAACAGGAGAATTTTGGGAAGGAGGAAGTTGGTTCCTCCCATTCCTGCCCAGACTACCGAAGCAGCAGGATGTGATCTGCCTCACTGAAAAAGGTACTGAGCCACATGGCTAACATAGATCAGAAAAATGGGTTAATCAAGATGTGAGAGTTAGCCAGTGAGAGGCTAGAGCTAATGGGCCAATCAGCTTATAATTTATGGAGACTTATGTGTGATTTTCTTTGGGGCTAACAGTTGTGGGGTACCGGGCAGGACAGAAAACCTCAACAACAAGCCAGGCCCGCTCATGTTACAGAGGCAGGACAGGTGTCCAGGGGACAGGGCAGTGGCTAGGAAGGAAACGGCACCTGCAGACAGCTGGTCACGTGCAGATCCTGACTTGACCACTTCACTAGCTGTAATCTTGTACAAATTAACCTCCTCCCAGTTTTTCTTTAAAAATATTTTTATTGAATTTACTGTGTGGGAGTATCCCATAGATCATGTATGGATGCCGGAGAACTTGTGGGAATTGGTTCTCTCCTTCCACTATGGGGGACAGATCCTGATTGAACCCAGGTCTTCAGGCCTGGCAGCAAGCACCTTTACCAGCTGAGACACATAGCTGGTATTTTTCTTAGGCATGAAGCAGGCACAGTAGCAGTACCTCACCTAGGAGCTGTGGTGTGCTTGATAATGCTTTAAGTGTCCAGAAGACACTAGCTATCCGTTGTCAGTGGTGGCAGGATATGCAAGTCGTGGGGAGTCATGGAACAGGTAACTGGGTATAAATGTCCAGACCCAGAGAGAGTAGTCAAGGCTGGGATAGCTCAGTGAGTTGCTTGCCGAAGTTACATAAGCTCTACAAGGAAATGGACCAGGAATTGGATGTAGAAGTTAGCCCATATAAACCACCAGACAAATCTGAAATATATGTGAATGCTTAAAAAACTGTCATTATATGTGATAACGTATATTATATATATGGATATTCATTTTATTATCCTTTCAATTTTCCTAGATTGTTCAAATTTAAAAAAAAAAGAACTTGAAGACAAAAGTGGTCTGAGTAAAGTGTTTGGTAACTGTGTACACCTTTAGTCTCTAGGAGGCTAAGGTAGGTGGTTCTTTCTGAGTTTGAGGCCAGCCTAGTCTGCACAGTGAGTTCCAGGACAGCCAGAGCTACATAGAAAGACAGTCTTTAAAGACTGTCTTTAAAAAAAAAATAGAAAATCATATTAAGGAGAGCGACAAGGGCCGAGGGAAATAATATTTGGCTTTGGATGGCAATGACACATGGGAAGGGACCAGTGGAATCAGGCACGGCAAGTGTGGGCAAGGACTTCTTGACCTTAAGGGGTAAGGGGCATTGTTGGGGAACAAGCTGGAGAAAGGGAGGGAAGGAGACAGGAGTTGATGCTGTGGGGAGGAGTGGCCTCGAGTTTCTCCTTTGGTTCAGGGGGAGGTCTTTGGGGGCCTGTGGGGCAAGGAACTGATCTTCCTAGTGACAGATGGTATCTTGCAAGTAAGGTGACAGGCAATGGGAGAATATACCTCCATTGGGTCGGATCCAGGGACAGATTACTTAAGGAAAAAGGTACTAATGGTCTTGGGTGAGTCTCTCTGGGACTGGCCCAATGCAGGGTTCTATAGATGCTGAAGGTAGGGAGCAGGGAGTCAATGAAACTCAAAGTCCCTTTTTGGAACTTGGTGCTGGGCCAAGTTTAAACACTAGGAAAGAGTAGACCCTGGGGAAGGGGGGGAGACACATTTTCGTTTCCATGCCCCTCTCCCTGCCCCTGCCAGGCATATAGGCACGAGGTGTGATGAGTCTTTGGAGTTTAGAGAGCCTTCTGAATTCAAGAGCCTCCAGCCCTAAGGCACTACCATGAGGTTGCTGGAGTAAATCTTATGCTGTGGTCTATGCTGAGCACCCGATCTGGGCTCCAGGAAGAAGTCCTTGGGGGCGCTACGGAGCACAGAGTGGCCTCGCTATAGCAGGACCTTGGTGACAACGTCGCCGGGGACGTCCCCATCAGGGTCCTCCTTGAGCAGCAGAGGCCGAGGAGAGGAAGGCGCCGAGAGCCCGATCCCCGGGCTCTGCTCTCGCAGCCAGGTTCTCAGCGCCTCGCGCTCGGCCTGTAGCTGGCGACGCGCCTGCGCCATGGCGCGCTCCTCCTGCCGCAGAGCCCTGCGCCTGCGCTCTAGCGCGCGCTCCGCCTGCCGGAGGGCGGCCTCGCGCCGCTCCAGCTCCAGTTCCCGCCGGCTGCCGCGCACGGCCAGCGCGCCCATCTGCTCCAGCAGGCGCGCCCAGTCGCCCTCTGCGGCCAAGGCAGCGGGGCCGGGCGGTGGAGGACAGGGCGCGGCGGGCGGCGAGCTCCGAGCCCCGCTCTTCTCCAGCTCCCGCAGGTGCGCGCCGCTCAGGTGTCGCCACAGGGCTCGCGTCCACGCCTGGAAGCCCGGGTGGCCGCCCACCTGCTCACCGCACAGCCGGCAGGTGGCCCAGGTGCCCGTCGGGTGCCCGGGCCGAGCCGGGGCCAGATGGAAGTAGCCCCAGGCTTCGGAGTACGGCGCCCCCAGATGGCCCGGAGCGGCGGGTGCCAGCCCGGGACAAGGGCCGCTCTGCCCTGCAGTGTCATCAGGCTTCCAGCTGTCTTCCATGGTCACTTCTCATTCCTTCTGCAGTGTCTGCATCCAGGGGTGGGGGAGAGGAAGTACAACAGTAATCATTATTATATACACACAGATACTATAAATGTTAGTTGAGGACAAAACTTTCCTTTTTATGGTGTAAATCTTGGAGTGTGTTTTTTCCACCCCTCCTTAATACTCAAGCATTAAATGCCAATGTCTAAGAAAAACGCGTCTAGCCCTTCTTGCACTAAGTGTTCTCTTCCGAAGTAAAGTGTCTCCCTGTAGCACATATATCAAGTCCTAGAGATCTTACAGTGCTTGCTCAGCCTACACAGTGCCTGGGTTTGATCCCAAGCTCCAAATATTGAGAGTGGTGATTACAACAATGTATTTAGAAAAAAAATTGACCATAGCGGAAGCCATGATATGCTTTCAAAATATGCACAAAATGTAATTAAAGTGGACTTCTAAACTGTTGCCTTTAAATTAAATTATGAGCCGGATCTCAATGGTCTTAAGGACCTGGTTACAGCCCTGGAGGCTCTTAACCCACCTAGGTTCCAAAGTAGAAACAGTGTACAGGATAAGTCAAGGTTGATCAGCAATGTTTAGAGTTTGTAGGACTCACAAGCTCCATAAGAAGTCCAGAGGGACAGTCTTAGGTAGCAGAATGACTAGTGGATGCCTGTCTGGTATTTTCTTCTTTTTTTCTTGAGCATTTTATAAGTACTCAAGACATATGACAAATAATTAGCCTTCTTTATTGCTCATCCTACCTAAGTGGCACAAGCTTGCTTGGCACTTCCAGTTAAGGGTGGGGGAAGAAAACTAATGGTGTATGCTTTGCCTGAAGTATCTACTTGGGAACCTAAATGTGGTCTTGTAACTGTAATGACCAAGTCTGGGACGTCTCTGTGCATTGTAGCATGGGTGTGCAGCCAGAGGACACCACTGTGGGATTGGTGTTTCTCTCCATCTTTACATAGGCTCTGGGGTTGTCACTTGCATGGCTAGTGCTTTTCTGCTGAGCCATTTCACTGGCCAGTGACTGTCTTTTCCATGAGGAACACAACACAACTCACCCACACAATTGCTGACACCCCCAAGGCCATAAAAAGGAGGCATCTGTTCTTTAGTGAACGAGTTGGAAATGGGCCAAATGTACGGATCTAGACAAACTTTCTCCAAAAGTTAAAAAATAATAGTTAGACCCTTTGGGTTCTTCTGAGGACTTAGGAAGCATCATGGCCAAGGGAGAACCAGGCTAGTGAACTAGCCAGTGACTGCTCATGCTACCAGGTCCTGAAGGAGCAGCAGCAGAGATCATAAAATTAAAGAATCTGTTAAATCCACAAAAAGCCCAGGAAAACTAGAACATCTGTATATGTACATGTTATAAATATGTATATATAATATATATGTGTGTACTGTATATATGGTATATATATTTGGGTTCTCAATTTTACAATACAAATAATGAGTATAAAAGGTAGAAATTTCCTGACATAATAATAATAATAATAGTTGGTGCTTTCAATACTCAATCCCATCTCCAGACAGGACATCCAAACTAAAGATCAAAGAAATTTCAGAGTTAAACTATTCTGTAAACTAGAGATATATGCAGACTACCCATGCAAAAGACATAGGTTATAAGTTCTTTTCCGTGGCCCGTGGAACAGGACTCCTTGTTCTCAAAGTCTTAATAAATACAAAGGCATCAACAAATCCTAGTGCAGCAGAACCAGAGAGGAACTACAGGAACTAGCAGCCATATATGTAGAAGTAGACCACACTTTTTTTTTTTTTGAAGGAACAGTGGATCTTGAAAAACTCAGGGAGTTTCAAGTGAATATGAAAGCAGAGCCTCTAGGGTGCAGTCAGAGGACGATTTATAGCTTTGTGTGCTTACATTAAAAATCCAGACAGGTTGCAACAAAAGGCTAATAATGTACCCCAGGGTATTACAGAATGAACAAGCTAAACACCAGAGGAGTAGGTGATGGGAAATTATTAAGACAGGGACAGAAATTAATGAAATGTAAACTAAAAGAGTAATATATAAAAATCAATCAAAACAATAATCTCAGAATGACAACCCTCTAACCAGTCTGACCAAAATAACGAGAGACGATCCCAGTGTGTAAAACTAGTGATGAGCTGAAGGAGGGATCATCAGATCCTAATAAACTCGGAGGGATTTGCACACATCTTTGAAGATGTTTTCCATACTGTAAGATCCAGAAGGAATGAGTAAATTCCTAGCTGCATATGACCCACCAAAATTAAAGTCTAGAGGATCCGAACAATTTAAGCAGTTTTGTAACAGGCATGGAAGTCTCCCAACAAAGAAAGGTGGGGTCACTGCTAAATTCCACCAAACGTTTAAATGAAGAAGCTCATACAAATTTGCCTCAAAACTACTCTGTAAAATAAAAAAAGAAGCATCCTTACTATCCTCTCTTTATAAAGCCAACATTGCCTCGATAGTGGCCAAGTCCAGACATGGACACAGCGAAGAGAAAACTACAGACTAACATCCCTGACGCAATGGTGCTGTGGTATGTTCTATCTGTCTTTATTTCTTCAAGGCTTTCCTGCACCTGAGAAGAAATCATGTGAGTTTTGTCCTTAAGCCTATTTATGTACACTCTTGTATCTATCATCAAAAAAAAAAGAAGAAAAAGAAAAGAAAAATAAAGAAATTACCAACAAATAGTGGCCAAGACATAGGAAAAAATGAACCTTTCTCTAAGGCTGGCAGAAATGTAAGTTAGTATAGTTATTATGCTTATCAGTGTTTGCGGGGGTCCTTAGAAAATTAAATCCATAAATACAGTATTATCTATCTGTATCGTACATAGTATACATATGCCTGAACAATTTAAAGTCAACATACCACAGAAATATTTGCACATCCATGTTTATTGCAGAACTATTCATAATGGTCGAGATATGAACCAGGGGCTGAACCAGGGGCTTAACAGTTAAGAGCACACATTGCCCTCGCAGAGAACTCAAGTTCAGTTCCCAGCCCCCATGCTGGGTGACAACCACTTATAACTGCAGGTCCAGGGGTATTTATGTGCACACCCCTCAAATACATATAATTAAAAATAAACAAGTAAAGTACTTTTAAGAAAGATACTGAACCAGCTTAGGTGCCTGTCAACAGATGATGGTATACACATACAAAGAAAAGTGAGATTATGACATTGGCAGGACAGTGGATGACACCAGAGAGTAGTATGTGAGGTTAATAAGCCAGACTCAGAAAAATGCCATGGTTTCCCTCAGATACAGAATGTAGGTTTATGTTTATATACAAATGGTATGTATCTGTGTCGGACATGGATACAGAAAGTAGAGAAAGGAGTCTATAGGGCTAGGGAGGGGACAAGAAAGGATAACAGGATACATATGTCATAGGAACAGAAGGTAGAACCATTTAGGGGAGAAAGAAGACCAGCAAGATGGGTGAGGGGTCACGAGCAAGAACAAAATATGGACACATATATATGAAAATGTCACAGTGAAACCCAGTCTTCTGTATGCTGACCAAATATTAATCTAAAAAGTAAAAAGTAATGTAAAAATATTTACTTTTTACATGATGTTACTTAATTAACATGAAGCTAATATTAGAAACATTTCAATTAGCTAGCTTTACCTAAATTTTTCTATATACCCCATATTTGTTATTGTTAAGAACTCCATTTTCTTCTACCTTGAATCCATCCTTTCCAGGGCTCCTTTTAATGACTAGACATAAACAAAAGATGGGATTCTCTTATAGTGAATCTAGTTTATTTCATAAATTTGAAATGATTTGACTGTTGCTCTGCCATTTTGACTGTCATGTGAGCCTGCAGATTTCTTTCACTTGTGCCAAGGGCTCAGAGTCCCCACGGCTTATGCTCCTCTAACAATGCCATGGTTGACCCGTCACTGTCAAGCTTTGACATCGCTGTTAACTAAAAGCTGGATTTCCTGTAAATCCTGAGATGCTCAGAGGAGCAGCAGCCAATGGTGCCGTCTGTCGGGAGAGTTAAGGTGGGCACAGCAGGAGGACTGGAGGACACTAGCTCTGTGCTATGTCCCTCACCTGAGTCGGACAGGCAACACTACAAAATGTGGGCCAGCACAGTGCTGCCCCTCCAAGGTGATGGAGAAGGACATCCTTTGTCTGGCCAACCCTTTACTGTCGGAGGTCTTAACCAATGGGAGACAGCACGGTATGGATCTGCCCCACCTTCTCAGTCCTCCATAGGGGGATGCGTCCTGGCTGCATGTGATATGACTTCATATCCAGGGCGGAAGCCCCGTCCTAACATCTGTCCAGCCTGGAATACAGCCAAGTTCATTCCGGCTTCACCTGGAGCCCAGCAGAAAGCCCACGCTCCTCCACCTGCCTTTGGGACTTCTTATCACACAGAATGCACCGGGAGTTCTTACAGGGGGACTTTAAAAGGCAAATGATCCAGTATGAAACAGGCAAGAAAGGTGAGTAGGCAAATGACTTCAGGCCAATTCAAATGTCTGTGGGAAGGCGGTTCAGGGAAATGCTATGAGGGCAAGAGCAAAGGGCATTGTACATCCACCATCCTAACATCCAAAGGTGGGCAGGTATAGCCATCAGAGTCAGGAAGTGGGCAGAAAACAAGGCATGATCACTTTCCTGCTGAAGGTCAGAGCGCTTTGAGGAAGTCCATCTGGAAGTTTCTACATCAGTTAAAAACTAATAGATGTGATATCTATTTTTTTTTTCGGTTTTCCGAGACAGGGTTTCTCTTTAGCTTTGGAGCCTGTACTGGAACTAACTCTTGTAGACCAGGATGGCTGGCCTCAGACTTACAGAGATCCGCCTGTCTCTGCCTCCTGAGTGCTGAGATTAAAGGAGTGTGCCACCATTGCCCAACTGTGATATCTATTCTTTAGAACTAAAGGTACCAATATATGAAGTCACCTGTGCTAGAATGTTTATTTCATTATTATTCAGAATGGGAATCATAGCTGAGTATACAATGTCTGTTTGCAATAGTATGCAGCCATTC